CCAAGCATTCTTTTTCTTGATTACTGTTTTGAAGTTTTTGATCCTTATTATCAATGTGACTACTCTAAGAAAAGTCATAGAAGAAAACATGTTATAGATTTCATTCTAAAATAGAGCTAATTAGAATCAATTTATAATCATATTATTATGACATAAAATCATATAGAGCTTACATGCTAGTTTCAATTAGAAAATAATGTTGACGTAAATAATCAATGCAGTTTTCACAATAAAAATAAAAATATTAGCACATAGATCAACAAAAACAATGGTATTGACAGCGCCAATAATCACATTAGCAACGATATGAAAGTATAAAAAATTAACAGTGTCTATTTGACAATTTGGCTATAGATGTCTTTTAAAAGTACTCAAAAAATTGTGAAAGATGTATTTTCAATTCATCTTCCACAATTTTTCAATTGAATATTTCAAATTGTTAATTTTTTACTTTAGAAAATTTTCAGCAATCAATAATCTAATGGTGATTCTATATTAAAATTCAAAATGAATTAAAAATATTTCTTAAAAAATAATTAGAAAAAAATATCAAGATATTATCACCTAAGATTTTCAAATAAATATTCAATCATCAAGTGTATCATTTAATAAGAGGTTGGTCCATGTGTATCAATATTGTGAGGATAAATTTCAAGAATTACATGAACACATCGACACAAAAATAACATGGTTCATCCTCAGGAAGGAGGGCAACGTCTATCCAGAACTCGAACACCTTTATTTCAGATCATGTCTAAAAAGACTTCATGTACAAGGTGAGCACTAAGGTATTTATATCTTTACATATTTACTCTATCATGTGATGATTACGGCTTAGTTCCAGTTGACTCTCATGTAAAGAGTAGCCTTGTATTAAATTTATTTCTAGAACTTCTCGTGGAGTAATTATATTTTTGATAAAGTGTATCATTTAATAAGATGTTGGTCCATGTATATCAATCTTGTGACGATAAAATTCAAGAATTACACGAACACAACGACACGGAAATAACGTGGTTCATCCTCGGATTCACTCTCGATCCTAGCTATAAATAACTAGGACCCGAGGTTACTCCTTAATTGGAGTTAACCTCAACAATTTCCCCTTTAACTCACGTTAAGGAACATTAACCTCTATAACATACATTATTATTCTGCGGGAAGTTCTAGACATAAACCTAACATAAGACCCCCTCTTTACACAAGAATTAACTAGAACTAAGCCGTAGCCATAACATGATAGAGTAATACTAGCTAAAGAGGTAACTAAATACCAGCTAGCATAGAGAGAACATAAATCTAGTAATCTATATAATTATTGTGCGAGAAGTTCTAGAAAGAAACCTAATAAAAGACTCCTCTTTACACCCCTTCTCCGTTGAGTTGCGGTACATCCCAGACAGGGGCTGAAGCGGATTCAAAATGAGCGCGTTTACGCTCAGATTCAGTTAACTAGAACTAAGTCGTAATCATCAGATGATAGAGTAAATATATAAAGAGATAATTGAAGATACTATGTTAGTAAAATTTACTTGCGCTTTCATGCACAACCTGCATGATAGCACAATGTCGCGTGAAACTTTCTATAGAAAAAACTTTGATTAACGCATCAACTTGATTAAATTTACCATATATCTTGACTAGCTCAATCATCAGAGTTCACCGTCAAGATTGACAAGCTCAATCATCAGAGTAGCTCAATTACCAAAATTTATCTTCAATCTTGATTAGCTCAATCATCTAAGTTTACCGTGAAGATTGACTAGCTCAATCACCAGAGTTTACCATCCATCTTGACTAACTCAATCATTTTATTAGACACTCTTCTCTGAAAAATACATGATATCGTCGTGCTTCACGGTACTAAGCATATCTTGATCATTGATCACATACTGATCAAATTCTCCCACAACTACATATAGACGCTCATCTCAATCATCAATCACATAATGATCAAAACTCCCTCACAACTACATGCGTGAATCTACATACGTCAATCTCTTACCAAATCATTAGACTGATTTGGTTTCGTTAAAAAAATTAAAATTCTATCATTTTCAATACAAATTTTCTACTAAATATTTATGAACAAAAATTGTTCATAGATCAAAACATAGTCAAAATAAAAATTGTTTTAATTTCATGACTAACTTTGATCCAAGGTTTTCAAAAGAAAAATTTTATTAAACATTTGTCAATGGTCGAACTGTTTCATGAACAAAAACTGTTTTGTCTGCATAACTCCTTCTAATCCAAAGTTTGATAATCTTTTTTGTCAAGAAATGAAGTGCTTTGGTGTGTCGTCAAGTCGAGTGCTGATGAAAATGTCCACGAACTTTAAGGAAGTTTCGTAATCTTTTGCAGATTGATATCGCAGATTATCCGAACAAAGTTACTAATATCGTGACGAGAACTTAAAGCAGGATTGCCCTAAACCTCACATGTACAACGGACAAGTTTGGATGCCATACAAAATGATGTACCGCAAGATATGTATCGCATAGCAAGGCAAAACCACATTGTTTTTGTCTTGGAAATTGTCACTAAGTAAAAGTAATATACAACAACGTTCTTCAATTCAACGCGATGAAACAATGATAATGCTTGTTCTTTGGACTTGGTTTCTACTTGTTGTCGTTGGGTTAGTTTGATATTATTTTTGCTCATACTATCAAACAGATGTTCATCTTCATCTTCTTCGTCACTTTCTTCTTGTTTTTCAGGATTGAACATCATATTGACAACAATGATATCAACAATATTTCGTTCAATTTCATATACAAGATCTCCTTCATCTTCCAAAGAAGACGAGAAAAAAGTGATGATGGCTTTAAGAGAGTTCGTAAATGCAATTGGCTCATTGTCAAAAAAATGAATTACGATATGAAGAAGTCTCTAAAGTTTGATACACATCCCATTGTTTAATATGTTGGGTACAAAGATGATGTCCAATATTGTCATAACGAAAGGGTGATTTCCATGCTTGCACAAAAGAAGCCACTTTTTGTTCTGCATTACACTTCTTCCCGACGAAATGTAATGCAAAAGCAATATTGCACTCCAATCACTTTTGCCGACTTTTGAATATCGACTTACAACTTTCAACCCACATTTTTCATCATTTGCTTGCATGTAAGCAGATGGACAATTTTTTGTCATTAGAAATGACAAAAAATTGTTGTACTTTTCTTGTGAGAGCAACTAACTTCCCTTTATCTTGCAACATTTAAAAAAACAAAATAATTAGAATATTTAATTAAAAGAATTTATTATCACTTTAATTGCGTATGTAGAAGTATCAAAATCATCTATAAAAATCAAGATTGTAAAATAAAGCTAATGCAGAGAAGAGTCCCACTCTCTCTCTCCCATCGGAGATTCGCACTTCTCGCTCTTGTGTTACGCAGGAGATCGCTTGATGGATCTGTGTCCACGATAAGAGTTTGCTCGCAGGCAGTGTTTGATTGATTGATGGCTAGATATGCACGTCCCTAGCTCGTTGTAGTAGCTGAGGGGCAGGAAAGATTCGAGAGCATTGAGTGAAATGTGTGGCCAAAGAATGCGTCGCTCGACCTCGACCTGTTGGGGTCAAGGGAACGTGCTGCCAGAGTGTATATAGCTCTGCACTAGTTGTTTGCAAAGCTACTCGATGATGATCTCGACTTCCCCTTGCGGATCTCGTTGCGGTCTGCTGCCCGATTTGTGGAGACCTGCTCTTTTCGAACTGCAATTTTCGGGCTGACTCTCACTCAAGTTTATCTTAGATGGCTTTTTGGTAGCTCATCATGGTTCTAGAAGACTAGGATTTTGCATCATACTCGTAGCCCAAACAACCTCTCACAAAATATCTCAAGGTATCACTCCAACTCACACACTCATTGACATTCCAAGGTACTGAAAATTCGTCACTCTTTCATATATGAAACAAGTTCCTACATATGAACTCTCCAAACTTGCTTGAGAGTCTATTCCCTACCTCTATATATATACTACTTGTTCCATACTACCATAGTAACAAATGGTAATTTATATCTAACTTACTTTTTATAAAGATAATCCATAGTAAGGTTGACTAGTTATCAATATGTGGCAACATGCCATTGGCCTCCTAAACCTTCTAGATGTTTACTAATTCCTAGATTGAGGTGACGACATGCTATTTGTGCCTTTCCAACTTTAAGAACTTTCACTTTTCACTAAGTCAACATAAGACTTAGTCTAGCCAACGGAGTACTCCTTACTTAATCAAACCAATCAAAACTAAACATGAAGTCAAAAAGTCTTTTCTCTTGGAATCTAGATTTTTGTACAAGACAAAATAGAAGTGCTCACTCAAATCTTTCTAGAACTTCTCTAGTTATTCCGCCAAGTATAGACATCATAGCTAAACTAGCTAGACTTAGTCATAACTAGCTAGATCTAGTCATAAATATCATAACCATGATTAACTCCTTGGCTAATTCTAGATTTATTTCACACATGCAATAATCGGTCTCACAGAACAAGACAGGGTTGCGCGAGTTCTTGGGCCAGATTCTTATAGAATGAGAATGCGTGAGTTTATCTTCTGGCTCGAGACCTTTGTTGCAGCGTGCCTCTCGGACGTAAACCCGAGCATTCATAGCGTTTTCACATTGAAAAAAGAAAGTCTTGACCTTTCGGGCGCACTGGCAGAAATTCAAGAAATTTTGCAAATATTGCCTCCAGGAACCAATCAGATTTTCAAAAATTGCCTCTAGGAAACAATCAGAACCTCTAGTAAATTCAAGAAATTCTGGCGGACTCGCACAAGAATGAAATGTGGTCAGCCTGTGAATGTGAACAGATTGTGAGGAGCTCGGAATTGCTAGGACTGTGAATCAACTTTGTGCATCACGGTCGAGGTTGAGGGACAAGGCCAAGGCTGTCAGATCGCGCGACTCTCCAAAAGAGAGATGTCTCGCGTATAGTACTTAGTATCAGATCGACCAATCGAGCAAGTTAGTTGCACTCGCTACACAATGCACTTTACTAACCTTGATGACACGCATGTGTATGTGCATGGATACCATGTGCACGATATGAATTTAGAATACTCAGAAAAACTATGCCGTAACAAATCTCTGACACGCAATGTCCACCGCGATCCCATAGACAAACTGAAGCCCAAAATATCTTCATGGGAACTAGTACCTTTTCAATATCAAAGTTAGCATCACAAATCACGTCTGTGGTTTTCAGAAACAAAACGAGCAAATAAGAACCATCATTGTGATGTCAAAAACTTCGATGACGATCTGTGAAAACTCTGCCAGTTTCTTTTTTAACCGAAGAAGCAAACATTTGAGCTCGTTCAAATGTGTGATCTACTGCCTTGAATATGAAGAAGACGACGTTATGTGTACCTTCCCTCCGCTCAAAAGTATCAAAGTTAGCATCACAAATCACGTCTATGATTTTCAGAAACGAAACGAGCAAATAAGAACCAGCACTGTAATGTCAAAAACTTTGATAACGATTTGTGAACACTCTGCCAGTTTTTTTTTAAATCAAATAAGCAAACATTTGGGCTCGTTCAGATGTGTGATCTGCCGCCTTGAATATGAAGAAGACGACGTTATGTCTACCCTCCCTTGCAAGCATCTATACCACTCCGATTGCATGCAACAATGGCTTTAAATTAATAAGATGAGTGCTTCATGGACGTTCATGCGATCTGCAGGTGTCCAACTAGGGAGATAGTGTCGTTTCGTCTAGACATTAGCCTTGGAAGAGTAGACTTCCGCTAAGGCTAGAGCACATTTCAACTAATGAATGTACTTATATTCTATTTACCGTCCAGACGCACTAAATGATACCAATGCTAGACATTTGACTTCGCAGTTCAATGGTTGTAGGTTTGTCATGTATGCAACAAGGAGATGTTAGCTGTAAATGACAACAAGTAGCTTGCAACGGAAGCTTGGATAAAGTATGTAGTAGTTGTTACTGAATCCAGGCTATCATAGGAGCTCGATAGATCTTCAATGCGGCAATTTACGATCCCGAACAGAATCTTCGCTTGTGGAACGTATAGATGACCGTTGCTAGCATAGAGTGAATGAAAGAAAGAAAGCTCGCGAGAATTACCTTCACAGTCTTGAGCAGTATATTCACTGACGAACAGTAGATCAAATTAACAAACTTTGCCCTTCAATAAGAGGAACTCGAACAGAAGAATGAGTTGCATTAAAGCAGAGGAACTTGAACGGGAGAATGAGGTGCACTAAATCAAAGGTACTCGAAAGAGAGAATGAGATGCACTGAACCGCAAAAACTGTTCTATAAATAGTGACTTGGAGACAAAACTCCGTTGCAAGGAGTATTCCGCGTCATTTTCTCATTGGGTGCTGAGTTCTTGATTCAATTAGGCTCCAAATCCCGCCCATTTTAGTTTAGGCGCCTAAAGTAGTGCGCGTTTAGGTCATTTAGGCGCCGACATATATGGTCGACTATTTGAACCATGCCTGAACATGGCTCATTGAAACACACACACACACACACACTAAAATGAACCTTACAATCTATGTTGCTTGCGACTGATTGTCACCTTTGACTATCTCTCACCGTCACCCAAGACTAACTGCGGCCGCGACTAACCATCACTTTCGTCTGTGACCGACTGCGCCCACAACTAACTGTTGCTCTCGACTGACTGCGCTTACGACTTATCAAAAATGTTGTTCACAACTTACCATCTATCATCCACGACTTCAGTCGCCCGTGATCACCGTTGCTAGTGACAACCATCACCCGCAACTGTACCGTCAATCATCCACGATGGGAGTCGCGGATGACTGATGGTACAGTTGCAGATTACTGACGGATAGTCGCCCGCGACTATCCGCTACATGCGACCTATGTTGTCCGCAACTGAAGCATTGTATCTCACGACCTCTATCACTGATCGTCGTCCGTGACCGCAATATCCGTTACCCGCAACTAACCTTTGATTACAACCTATGTTGCTTGCAACTTACGTCACTCGCAACAAACGTTGCCCACAACCCTTCTTCACTTTCAACCCAGATTTTTGACCTGTTGTGTTGTCATCCCATACCGTCAAGAATCTTAAATAGAAAATTAACTTTTGGGGCAATATTTTCCGTCTGAGTCATATTTCAGCTCTTGAAAATGATCCAAATGCTCTGGTTGCGTTGAGAGCTTTCCAACGATACTCAATTTGTCTATATTTTGATGACAAAATTTATTTCTAAGAAATATTTATGACAAAATAGTACTTCACCGTTGTTCTCGACCTGCAACCTTCGGGCTAACTTTCACTCAAGTTTATCTCAGATAGCTTTGTGGTAGCTCATCATGGTTCTAGAAGACTAGGATTCCTCTTCATACTCATAGCCCATACACCATCTCACACAATACCTCAATGTATCATTCCAACTCACACACACATTGATACTCCAAGATGCTGAAATCGTCTCTCTTTTATATATGAAACGAATCTGTACACACAAAATCTCCAAACTTACTTGAGAATTTCTTCCCTACCTATAGTATATATAGATATATATACTATTTGAGAATTTATCATAATAAAAAATGGTAATTCCTATCTAACTTACTTTTACAAAGATAAACCATAGTAATGTTGACTAGTTATCAATATGTGGCAACATGCCATTTGCCGTCTAAACCTTCTAGATGTTCATCAATACTTAGACCAAGGCGGCGACATGCTATTTGTGACTTTCCAACTTCTAAAACCTCCACTTGCCACTAAGTCAACATTAGACTTAGTCTAACCAATGGATTACTCCTTACTTAGTCAAACTAATCAAAACTAAACATGAAGTCAAAAGTGTTTTATCTTGGAATCTAGACTTTTGTACAAGACAAAATAGAAATGCTCATTCAAATCTTCTAGAATTTTTCTATTTATTTCATCAAGTATAGATATTATAGCTAAACATAGTTATAACGTGATAAACTTAGTTATAACTAACTAGACTTAGTCATAACTAGGTTAACCATGATTAACTCCTTGGCTACTTCTAGTTCTATTTCACACATACAACATCTGGTCTTACAGAACACTAGAGCTCCATAAGGTGAAATACTTGGTTGAACGAATCCCTTGCTCAACATCTACTTCACTTGAACTTTACATTCTTCCAATTCAGTTGGAGCCAAACTATATGGAACTTTGCAAGTTGGTGTACTTTCAGGTATCACTTCAATATTGTGATCTACTCGTCTTTTTTATGGTAATCTTGCAAGTAGATCATCTAGAAAAACATCTTTATACTTCATAAAAATGCCGTTAAAAAACTCCGAGATGTAAAATTTATATGTGAGCAATATATGTTATAAGTCCAAGTAAACATACATCATCTCTGGAAATGGATGTTTTACCCATCACAAAGAGTGATAAATTTCAATTCTAAGATATAATTCTATCTCCATAGATCTTCCATCCACAAGTGATAATCATTTTTTTTCTTTAATCTACCTCTAGATTATATTGCTCCATCCATGACATTTCAAGAATGACATCATATCGAGCTAAACGAATTACTCTCCATTCAATGTTCTCCTTGTATCACCCTATGAATAATTCTAAACTCCGTGGTAGTGTTTTTATCACTTCAATTTGCCCGTTTGGCAATTCAACTTCATCACTTACGTCTTTCATCAACATCAAACCTAACTTCGTAGCAACACTTCTTGATAAAAAATTCTCAGTTGCTCCAAGATCAATTAGAACTCTAACATTGTGTCCCTTCATCACACCATCATTGATAATGAGTTGAGCTTATTTCTTATCTGTTCCATGAGCCCCCAACCATTGCTTTCTTTCAACCTTGCCTTTTCTTCTCTTTGTAGAACAAGTAAGTCCGCGAGTCAAGTTTATTGATGATATTTGTTTTCCTAAACTTCTTCCTCAACATCTTCATACTTTATCCCCTCCATGTTGTTGAAGGGTCGTCACTTTATGGATCGGACTCCTTGTGGTGCCGGTCAAATTTGGCAAAACTTTGCAATGTAATCTATTCGTCCACATGCATAGCATTGAAGATTGTCACGAACTACTGTTCCTACTCAAACTATTCTGTTATTTGCATAACCTTCTTGCAAATTTAGACCTCCTGGTTGTCGAATCTCACCTTCAAATCTTCGCGGTGGTTCTCATAATGGTGCAAGACATTCTCTACGTCGAAGGTTTTCCAACTCTATCGTTGTTGAGCCACATGTTTCTCAAAAATTGCTTAATGGTTCACCGTGTGTGACATCAAAGACACCCAAAAATTGTTGAGCAATTGCGATTGCTTCATTCAATGTGAATGGAGTGCTTATCATCAACTCCTTTTGAATTCAAGCCTCGTTTGAACGCGTCCAAGACTTTTGCTCCACTCATATTCATAATAGATACTTGAAGATCACAAAATACTTTCTGCTTCAAATCCCACAACTTCATTTTTCCAATTTGAAGAGAAAACATCGTTTGAAAATTTTGCAGAAGTCATTCATGTAATTCCACTCCACAATTTCACTCCACAATATGTTAGCACCTCGTTCTGAAAGCATTCTTTTCCATGTTGTGTACCATGTGAGAGCCTTATCCGTAAGATAAGATTTCATGAACATTCTTGCAATATAATCAGAAACATGAAAATGGAATAAATGAATATTCATCGTCATTATCCATCCCTTTAACACTGTCATTGCTCTACTTCCTTTGTAAGCTTCTACCTTAGAGAATTTTTCCATTCAAAGTAAAAGATTTGCTTGATCTTCAATCTCTTAAAGACGTCTCATATTTACCTCTACTGCATCAATATGAGTTGTATCTGGCTGAACTTGGGAAGATTGAACTTGAAATTCAACTTCCATCTCTCCAACACTTTCTCTCTATACTTTTTTACTCTCAAATGCAAAGATTTTATCTTCCATGGCTTGCTGTTTGGTATGCCATCTACTATCGCTTTTCTCAACTCCTTTATCTCCGTCATGATTGCGTTGAGAACCTCACCCAGATCGTTTGATATCCCCATGTTTTCTCACACTCCCTCTAATACAAAGTGAGTATAATCACTATCTGACCTCTCAAAAAAGGAGCCACAAAAGGTATAGTTGATTATATCACAGCTCTTTAGTAGTCTTTTCCATAATTTTTCACAAGAAAATCTCTCCACAATCTCTTATGTCAGTATATTGTTCTAGTATCTAGATAAGTGTTGAACCAAATTGGGACTGATGGTTTGCTATTCAAATCCATGAAACATTCAGTATAGAATATATATGCTATAATCTTAAGTTTCTCCGTAACTATCTATTAGAAAAATCAATGACACTTTCAACTCCATCACTCTAGTCATAAAAACTGCACCCCAACAAGCCACAAGATACATCAAAAAATGATGTTTCTCCATGCAACGAAGGTGAATATTGAATAAGTTAGTAATCGGCCAGTGCGTTACTTGATTCCTATCAAGCCCGTCCATATATGCAAAACCACAATTTTTCCCTTTCCGTCTCTCTGTACATGCCGATCAATGACCTCTGCAAGCCTCTATACACTCTTAAAACTGCATTCCATCATTATTCACTTGCTACTCCATGGGAGATAATTCATACTCAAGGAAAGAGTAAGTTCGTTCTGATACCATTGTAACACTAGGGTTTAGAGAGAAGTTGACTTGGAGATAGAAACATAAACTATAAAGATGAGAAATATCAACAATGATTCTACTCTCCCTTACATAACTTTCACCAACAAGTACAAGGAGATAAGATCTTATCCCCACCATCCATTCCACTCATAGTGTATAGATGACATGGCGGATAATCCTCACAATCACACAGATCGCTGACGTGACGCTACCAACTAACATACTCAATCCTTACTTAACAAGCACACGGATCACTAACATGACATTGTCAATTAACACACCTACTCTCTATCTACCAAGCGCGTGGATCGCTGACGTGTCAAGTATGACTAGTGCACGCTAAAGTATCTATGTCAAGTATCTATAACCACTTCTTCAGTTCTAACTAACTAAAGATGGGTTACAGCCGTCTGGTCGGTTTGATTGGACATTTGCGTAGGCAATCAAATGTGATCAATGAAATAAAGTCTATCAGCTCAAAAACGTAAACCACATGCTGGCACGCTATGTATTTGACTATGTCTTGACTGATGCAACAACGTCACGTCATCAAGTCTCACTTCAACAAATTTCCGCATGTGCACCATTGCCGCGCATCAGAACCAGCAAGCAATGCGTGGTGGATTGCCAACGCCGCAACCGTGACGATTATCAAGTCTATTCACATTGTTGTGATGCGATTGCAAGATCAACATAAGTCCCAAGTACAATAGCTTATGATTGACTTGATGGTGACGATTGGTGTACGACGTGACTCCACAAATCATGCTGATCTGGCTCCAGCCATCAACGTTGTTTGCGGGCGCAGGTCTGCGTCATTGATTTGAAATCATTGGGTTTCTGCACGATCTTGGCCATTTCTGCATGACCGGACTAGATTGCATGGATGATCCGACGCGTGACGATCAGCTTCAGAACGTGGCCTACCTTATTTTTGAAATTTTTGAAGGGTTCAAAAACAGCATTGCGCTTCGGGAGGCGTACTTGTTTGAGCTGGTCAAGCTTAGAGGCCGCGACATTACTTAGCTGGTAAGTAAATATGGGGAACGGGTGGAAGTTTCGTGGGCCCTTGCCAAAATTGACACAATCAGCTAAGAGTTCAATGAACTTCTAGCCAAGTAAAACTGCGATTATAAATTTAGGATGGTGATTGACAAAATTGACAACTGAAAGTTCGTTGAACTAGATGTAAGCGCTGCCTTGCCTCAAATGCCAATTTGAGCAACTGTGCTGGTTTGTGGGCGGGCTCGTTTCACCATTTTTTAACAGGGAACCTATAGAAAACGACTCTTCACATTTAAAATTCTGCAAAGACGTCTTCAGTAAAAGCATGACCAACTTTTCTCTTGAGTCATTTCTCCCATGCAAGCAGCAAGACATGCTCGTTGCCATCAAAATATAGCATATCTTGTCTTGCTCGCACAATTACATAACAAAACTACTAGAAAAATAGAATTTAGATAGATGCATAATCTAAACAAAATTTGTGCCCAATTTGATTAAGATTAGGCATATGACTAATCTACATAGGGCTGCCAATAATACATCCAAATCCAAGTGTTGAAAGTTGTAACAATTGGCATGTTCATATCTATTATGTAAATAATGAAGTAAAATATATGTGTTCAAGTCCTATATTATACTTTGTGAAACAATTGGAAAAATAATGAAAATTAGAATATCTAACATTCTCCAGACAAAACTATCATCAAAGTGATAGTTTAAATATAAGTGATACAAACCCAAAAATCATCTAGAATAAAACACCAAATATTGATCGCAAAAAGAATAAGGGCTAGCATCTCTAGATTCTCTTGTTGATTTCTATGAACCAGCTCCACTACTCCTTTCCCATGATCCGATAGTAATCTAATTCTAGATCACTAATGGCAATAAGTACACAATATTGCATAGTATTCATATCAAAGATTTGAATACTATGCAATATTGTGTACAAATCTTTGATACTTTAGCTTTGAAAATATAAAGCTAGACTGTTCACTTTGATATGTTTAAAAGAGTTTTTTTAGAACATATCAAACTAGAGGATATGAGGTGTGATATTCTTTAGCATATTCTGTAACTCATTTTAGTCAAAGTGTATGTATGATTTTACATGGATATAGAATGTTGCACATCATATATCTGGATAATCTGGACATATAATGAGTAGCATTATCTAATTTGAGCACATTCTACCCATTTCATCCATGCCTGCCTTCATCTTCCATGACTTTTTGATTGATTGCTTGACATACTTTTCGGGCTTATTTAAAACTCAAATGGTAAACTTTGGCACGCTCAAAGAGACTTTCTGCTGATCGGGATTGTAGTTAGAACAGTGGGATATCTAACAAGAACACTTAAACGAATTTTTAGTTGGTCGAGATAGTCTACGAGTCAACCACCGTGAAAAATCTCTATATATACTATTACAATCGAAAGCTAGTTTGAAAACGAATGCGCGTCATGCTATCACTGAAACTTTGAACCATATAGCCGTCTAAGTTTAATTCATTTCTTTAACTAGAAACGTGTTCGTCTTCCTATCATGATTTGACTCAACTCTCAAGTAATGTGTGCAATGTTTTTCATCAGGTTCATGTCGACAACGTATGAGATTGCTTAATATATAAACACCTAAGGGTCCCAGATATGGCATGACTGACTGTTAATATGCAGTCCATTGGAGCAAAGGAACGTGTTCCTTGATTTAGGAGGAAGTGTATCTTGTGATTTAGTTTCTCAAGGTTGAGCTTGAACCTTTAGGAATTGGAATCATACACAAAAAACAACAACAACACTGTATTTTATAGTTATTGATGAATTTTCCCAATGATAATACAGATAAAGAGCTCTCTATGTTCAAAGACTGACAACCTTCCTTCAAAGCACCTACGAAGATGCCTAATACATGCACACGTCATCGTACTTCTTGTACACATTCATTACGTTTTCATTATGTGTCAATCTACTCCGACATTGTTCCGATACCAATGCGAGTTAACGAACTCTTCGTTCAGTTGTCAGAGCAAATGGTGTTGTGCACAAAATCAAATTGCAGAAGGATGATTATCATACCAAGTCAAAATCCTTCTTATTTGAAAGAACTATACCTCTTCTAGTAAGCAAGAGGAAACGAACGAGTAATTATATCTCACTGATTTCGCTTAAAGATCTTCATTTTCAAAGTAGAAATGCTGTATGAATATATAAACACAGTTTATTCAGTGTGTATCAGAAATATAAATTATACTAAATTATATCAGGTATATTGATACTCAATTCATAGTTCAAAATACCTGAATAGTGCAATATCTGCAGGTACAGGGACAACCGGGTAGAGTTGTGGACCACGTTACACGAGATGTCGATGCAGTGGGAAGCATGGACGCAGAAGTCCATCGTTGGTCCATCCGTCGTCGTCGATCACCGTAGACCGATCGGATCCATCGGTCACATCGCGAGCAGTGGAATCGAAGGCGGAAGTCAAGAATGTGAGTGTCGGATATGGAGGAATACTTCACCAGCTGTGCGATGTGGATGACGAGTTCAGAAATCTCTCGCTGTTTCTCTAGATTTGATCGCTTGATGCTTTTACCCGATTCTAAAGCTATGAGAACGTTTATCTGGTGCAATTTGTGCTCCTGCCAGTGCCTACAGGAACGTGGCTCCTAGCAATGGTGACCGTTTTCTGATGTTTCTGCGTACTCTAAATGATACTGATGACTTGAACCTTTGCAATGGCAGTCTATGGAAGAGACCACTCGTGCAGACTGCATGTGTTTGGCGACTCGCAGAAGTATTCTAGCTACAAGTGGTGTGCTTCTATTCGATGATTCTGGTATCTTGACTTTAACAAGATCTCTGGCGTGTCAATTTCGTTTCAGACATGTGGCCAGATGAGTTGATTCTTCGTACAACCGGGTTCCTTTTCGCTGGTGGGAGTGTGGATTCCCATGGCTGCTTTCTTTAGCATAAATTAAACGTAATGTCGATCTGATGTTACTAACATTCTCTTGAGTTCCAAACTTTGTTAATTTCTGTTCACCAGAATTGTATGATGTGGAATGCTTGTCAGAGCATCATACATATGAATCCCTATCGTTGACCTTTCTTGTTTGGCTTAGATTCTCTGAATTCAAACATCCTCAAATATGAGGATGTTTGAATATGTTTCTTCCATCCTTCTCTTCACACCGAGCCTGTAAATTGGAGTCCTCCCTAAAGTATTGCAGTGAAGTTGCAGATTGAGTTGGAATCCAATGGGTGTAAGTGCACCGCATAACACCGTAGGTTCGTACTGCCAATTCTGGCAAATTGAGAAGAAGATGATTATAAGAACAAAATTGTATCTTACTCTAGAGCTTTTCTTAATTGACATTCAGTCCATAATTTGAAAGGCCTTTATCTTTCGTCTTTGATTTGTGACCTCATATATATATATATATATATATGCAAGCGTCATGTAAGAACCGAAGTTTTATTTTAGTTCGGAATGGAGGCCTGGGCACCCGTCAATCTGAACCATACAATTATCTCCACAAATAAAGAATATGTAGTGATGACTACTTGTAGCTTGAAAAATCTTCCCTGGTTCATTTGAATTTAAAGCTGTGAAGCATACTCTATTGCAGTGTGTTAATGTTGTTCGATTATAATATATTGCATTGTACCCAAGTTTCTGTTGTTTCAAGTTTGGAACTTAAAATCTTTTTATTCAGATATAGGCCCAGCTATCTAAGCGTTTCGACCTTCTTTTACTCTAAAGTAAATACTATTAGAGTTACAAGATTTTTGAAGCTTTGAAATTGAGTTTAAATTTAAACTCTAATAAATCAATGTAAATATCTATATGCCGATCTTTGTTTAGATTTGGAAAAAATTCTTTCTATATACTATCTAGTCTGTTAAAAATATAGGTATCTAGAACTTCCGTGGTGTATATTGTTTTATATAAAAAAAATTCAATAAAATTCCTCATAAAGAATGACTTTGCGTATATGTTTATCTGCTAGAGAATTTCTTTTCAAATTAATATAAATTTAAACCAAATTTTCTATTATATATATAGATAAAAATAACTTGAATAACCAATATTTTTTATTGATATTTTTTATATAATAGAGAACAGATTTATATATTAAATGGAATAGCAAGTGAGATAACAAAAAGGATGGAAAGGTAATGCGATGAAAGACCATTTAGAGGAAAAATATTTTTACATAAATATGTTTTATTAAAATCCACTTTCACATATTGAGATAGATTTTCCTGAATCAATCATGTTATTTTCAAATTTGCATTCTCAAAAATTGTTTTCCCAAATAGTTGAAGACATCTATTCACCCCTAAGTTTAGAACATATCCATATATAATTTGTAATCGTGAGATGAAATCGGAGCGTCAATTGCTACTTTATATATCTGATATTTTGGTTTGTTCGTGTATGTCAATCGAAATGATTAATAATGCAAGCTAGAGATATAGAGGTTTCCAAAAAGATACTTATCATAGCAAATTATTGTACATCATAAAGGAGTTCATTTTCATACGTACTGAGATGTCTTGTAGTTGTTTATTGAGATATCTTTAATTCCAGAGTCTAGCAAGGGTTTACATAGGATTTGTTGTTTGAACGAAGGCTTTACCGAAGACATTTCCCTCAAATACAGGTCTAGGAGCCTACTAGCGTGCATCTAGCTTGCAATGCAGTCAATAAATTAAAATCACTAAAACCCAGAAGATGTACGCTCGTATACAGAGAAGTAGAGGTACTGTATTTTCTCTAGCTTTCCTAGACTAATGTACTTGCTGCATGTGTTGCCATGCTATAATTCTTCTACTAATGAGGCGTCATAAGGGTACTTAACTTTTAATCCGATACATTATTATTGTTTCTTTGTTTGATGATTATTTACTCCTTCATGAAAGCATGATTTTTAGTAATTGAGGAAGTTCGAAGTATTTTCGAATTTCATTCACAAAATTTGAAATCTCTTTCTGTGAACAACTATGTAATCTTATAATACACTTCACACAGTTGCTATGCTTTTCTACGAGGTTACCTCCCGACAGTATCCTTAACCTCGTATCTCGATTTTTTCCCCTTTTTGAAAAATACAGAACGGATCTACCATTTCAATCTTATTTGTAAATCCTATATTTTCCGGAAATAACACATCTAAAAATAACCGAAGTATCTTGGCCTGATTTGGATTTGCGTGTCACTTTTGAGCTCCCCCATATCTCGTAAGCATTCATGTCCGACTACGGCCAACATCGGTTGACATGTTACGACAAACATAACGATTAAGCAGACTGGTTGGATTCGAGTGTCAGGACTTCATTATTGTTCATGTCTGGCGACGACGAAGATGATAATGAAGGCGATTTGGCTGGAGCCATAATGGCAGTGCCTCCAGTTCCAGCCCCCAGGACAACCCAAACGCCAAATCTTCGAGGATGCTAAAGGAAGATGTCTCCCTCTTGCATGCTCCCAGAGTCCCCTTTCCACTAGTTTACCACGGCCATGTCTTCCAGTTCTTCGATGAATCCGTGTGAATCCATGATTGATGAAGCTTGAAAGCTTGGTTGTTAGTTCGCCTTTCACTGACGAGAAACTGCAGATACCTGAGCGAGTCTTGATCGTTGAGCAGATGCACATGATCTTCGCTACATGGCCTTAAGCCTCGTGGTAGGCGGAGAGAAGATTTTACAGCCAGGGCCCAGCCGGTGGCGGAGAGGAGGCCATGCAGACATGATTATTTCAGCTTATCGACGTAGCAATCGATCTTCGACTCTCCCTCTTCTCAGCTGGCCACGAGTAAATGACGCTTCTCCGGCTCCTTTCCTGCTCACGAAACGACGTTTAGAACTTATAAGAGCGTGATTTCTGTTGTGAGTGTGTTTCTCGTTGATTGAAGAAGAGCTTGATCAGCTCCTTGGTCATCGTCACCAAGAGCGGAGATCCCTCGGTTCACAGGGTAGTTATAATTTGACTTCTGATATGGAGAGCTGTATACGCATTCTTCGGTCGAATTTTAGCGGCTCCCCAGCTTTTGATCGATTGGAGACTCATTTAATCTTGGAAGACCAGAGAGTAAGGATGTGCTTCTGAGTGCTTGTTGCAGCACGTTCCAGCATTCCACATGTGCTCCAACAACAAACCTACAGAAGATTTCCTCTTTACCACCACTCTTCCGACTTTTCTCTTTTTCATCTCCATAACTACACGTGTTCTCACATTTTCTTTCTCTGGACAATAGAATGATACAGAAGCACTAGAGAAGCAAAAAATTTCCTGTTTCATGTCGCTGTTTAAAGTATAAGGCAATCCGCAACCCGCAATCCTTATAATCAGTGAATTAATGTCACAGTGACATTAATTTCCTGGACTAAGCTGAGCTGTTATGGTGAAACTAGAGTGGAGGCTTTCAACTACAGCTCAAATGTTTGTAGTATTTGTCAAAGTCAGCTTTACCTTGAAATTGTAGTGTCCAGTTGGAGATGCATGCATCAAATAAGCCGAAAGAGCGTACTTGAAATTCTCCCTTATTCTCTATGATCTTGCACCATAATGCCTCATGCATTTGGTTACAGATTCACGCCGAATATGTTCGCCCAAATTTCTTTCTCTCACTAGCCGTCGTCCAGATATTTCTCGTTATAGGCCTACTCTTTCTGTAGTTGCAGTCCTTAAATATATCTCCAGTGCAACATGTGGCTCACTGTTATCGATGCAGAATTCGTTGATCGTTGGACACCTCCATTGCGTCGTCCTCAAAACCTCTGTCGTCTTGACGACCTCCACGTGGTGTTGTTTCATACTCCACGTCAAGTCAGTAAATTTAGCAGCTGCAACAACTTCAGATGTACCTGTACTTGCCATCGCTTTGAGTTCCGACCAAAAAAGCCTCTTCCATCCCCTTTTACACATCTTTCACTGACCTGACGTGCTCGTGTAGGCCTTGATTACTTCGTTGATCCGATCTCCCAACCATACAGGCTTACAGTATTTTACGTTACAGCAGTCATGCTTCTCTCCAATTCCTTATGGCAACAAAACTGAAGTATGGTCTGGAGCTGCAATTTACAGTAAGTCATTTGCATCTGAAACATTTGGCTCCTAGGCAATGAAATTTGCACAAATGTTTTGTCGGACTGCTTTATTCGGAACGTGTCCTCTACGAGACTACAACTGTGTAACGCGCTGTTGAGCGCAAACAGTTCAAGTCTAGCCTTGCCTTGAGAATTGAGATTGATCGTCAGCGTTATTCGCCGTAATGTACTTGCAAATGTGGATCTGCATCACCTACCATATCTAATTGCAGAGGAATCTTGGTCTCCCTCTTGACAGTTCATGCAAATATCATTGTGGATTGCCTTTATGATCTGATCCCGCTTTTCCTAATGCCATGATATCTGAAGCCATGTTCATATCATGAAAAGGTTCGTTCCCACCTTTGTACATGCAAGAATGGAATCTGCGGCGTACCCGATAATTACGGATGCTTCGGTGCAGACGGCTTCTTGCAAATCGCAGAACCGCGGAGCATGCTCATCGTGGCGATTTCGTCGCAGGGCGACTCGCGGCCATGAACCCTGTTAGTGCATATATTGTTCGAGTATAAAATGCTGCAAGCTTCTATAAAGCTTCGGCGTGGGGACAAGCTACCAAGTTGCCCACTGCGTATGCAGTCAGTTAGAAGGCAATTCTTCCGATATTCCTCGTTCAACTTCCGTCCGCGATGCTGATTCCGGGCTCGATGTGACGTCAAACCTTCGAATTTGAATGTCCCATGTTCACCGGGACATCCAAATCTGGTCCTTTGCCTTGGCAGCTACTAACAGAAACAGGTTCTGGACACAACTATGGGTAAGAGATCCGACGTAGTGGTGAAGCATAAATTTAGCTCTTCTAGCGGGAAATGTGCGAGCATTGCATCTACTACTTAAATCGATTCGGCTCATCGGTGCCGAGTTATTAATACCACATGCTTACGGCTCTCTCCTTCAGTCAACAGTACGCCATCTAGGTGGACTCACCAAGATGAATTCTACAGCTAAAAGCGGTACACCCGATGGTGTGATTGCTAGAGAGATAGTTCGTTGTTACAAAAGGTCGAAGCGAGTTGTCAAGTTTTGCCACACCGAATCTGTATCCATTACAATTTGTAGACTTCGTTCTTGCCAGTTGTTCTGACAAATGGTCACAATCAACATGTCTGTGTGTGTTAGATCAGGGAGGATTCTACATCTCCAAACAATAGTAGACTGTGAGGGTCATGGATGATAGCGCAGGAACCCAGCTAGAAAATTTTCCAGAATTTAAGCAGGACCATGGAGAGCCACCGCGAGAACAGAATGAGGAGGAGGAGGAGCGAGCGAGACGACCAAATTTCCTACTGTGGCAACTAGCAGTTTCTTCTGTTTTCGTGGACATAAATCGTCACAAAATGAAAGCTCGTGAAGTAGAAATGTCACAACAAAGCTCTGTTGAACTGGAGAAGTCATCAGTGACGGTGGTGACATCAGTTGGGACTATAGAACGGGAATCGAATGCGAAGGAGCCCGATGTCGAAAATGGAATCCAGGTAATTTCGCAAATACTCTCAATCAACGGCACGGCAAAATCTGATTCCTTGACTCGTGCTTTTGCGTTACAACTCGTGATTTACTGACAACTGGCGATAATGTCGTCAACAAGCGATGGGGATTTCACGTATAGGTGTCACTTGTGCACGTGGTTCACTGAAATTTGGTAAGAAGACCACTTCCCGTCTGTTTATCAGGATCGGAGAAATTGTGCTTTTCTTCCTTTCTTGAAAGAGATCTTTGTTCCGAACAGCTACAATTCTTAAAGCGCTCATAGTCCATCGTTCTGCGTCAGGGAATCTTATATTCCTCATTCAGAATGGGCGTCCCCAAGCCTTCCCCCCTCCAGGAGTCCCAAACCTATAGTTCCTTATCTTCACTGACTTGCTGCCGATTGATTGTTCGGAGGTAGGTAGAGCTTGCTCTTTTGTGCAATTCTCGTGATTGTGAGGTTTTTTCTGTCTTCTTGCGGATTGCTGTCTAATTTTTTAAGAAAATCTCATCTTCATATAGGATACACATCCAGTTAGGATGTAACCCTGCATGACTCACTTAGCAGCAATTATATCTATACCGCTTCATCCCTCTCTACATGCACAGCAACATCATTCTGATTGAAAGTAAATCATCATTCGATCTGAATCCTGCCAGAAACTAACCAATTCCATAAGTCAAATGAAAACTTTACGATATAGAGGAATTCTGGCATGCGCAAGTGATTCTGGTTGAGTTCTGATTTTAGTTTTAGTTCCTCTCAATGGGCAAGGAGCGATCAATGTACGTTAATGCGCTTTGCAGTCTACAGAGCTGAGGGTTTTAGTCTGAATTATGCGGCACTCTCAAACGCTTTCAGTGTGTTTTTCTAAATGCTTCACCTTAAGTCTAGAAAATGCACATTTTATATAAACGACATGCAGACATGCATGCGCACGTCACACCTTCAGTACCTCAACCATCGAAGCCCGTAGCGTTATTTAGACTTCTAAGTGATGCTTGATGTATCAACCTTCGTATAAGTAAGAGCGCAGCAGATTGAGTTTCAATGACGAATAATTATTAGTTCGTCGTGTTGGTATGAAGAACATAAGGAATGTTGATGGTTGCAGTATTTGACACGTAGAATTTTAAATATGTCCAGTAAGAATCTAATCGATTCAGAGACAAGTGAGGTGACGCCGTTTAGAACTCAATTTCTTCATCGCATTATAACCTGCAACGGTGGAGCAGCAGGTCCAATATAATTCTCTGGAGTTCAAGCCATATGAAATCTGTACGGGTAGGAAATACGTGCAGGACTCGACCACTCTGCTTATCAAAGACCTCTTGGCCCGGTACCTATCCTTCGCATCATCCATGTGTACCTCTTGACTACTTGGTTGTTATCGAAGACCTTCATGTGTCTGGTTTTACATAAGAGATTACTCTCCATCGAGCCGAATTCGCGTAGTTTTGAAGCTGCCACTTCATCTGGTTGTAGTCGCTTATTGAGGTCTTGTATTGTTACTGACATCACGTTTTTCTTTCTGAGAAGTTTATTGAACATTTTGAAGGTGATAATATATGGTGATTGCTTCCTTTCCTATTTCTATCCTGCAACTCTTCATTTTGTTCGTTGCCAAGAGATTAATTGGAAAAAAGCAATTTCAAGGCAACCTCCTTTAGAACTTTCGACCTTGGATCTGAAAATGGGGTAAATATTAACGTTGAATGGAAATTGGAGGATCAGTTCAATCAGACCTAAGAAACTGCACGATGTTTTGGGTATTGTGGTTCAGAGAGCGAAGAATGACGAGGACGTATGGCCCTTCCTTCTACGATTTCCCATGACTGTGTTCGGCATAACGATGGGTTTGGGAAGCCATGCTATAATGTGGAAAAATATTGCGCATTTGAAGTCGATGCGCACTTTTCACGTACCACGATTGATCGGCGCCATCTTCTGGTTCCTTTGTCTTCTTCACTTGTTAGTTATCACCACGATATATGGTGCCAAATTATTTAGATGGCCAAAGGTATGGTGTCCACTGAGTTCACATAGAGAATTGGAATATCAAAACTCTCTATTCCCTAGTATTGCTGGTAGGACAGTGACATTGTTATTTGTTCATGGCATTTTCGTTCCTAATTTAGTGGATAATTGGAGTAAAAATATATCTTCTAGATGGGATTCTTGACAAGACGAAATGCTACTGTACCATGCAGGCCGTTCACTTGGAGTTTCTACATCCGGTGAGATCGAATTATTTTGCAGCTCCCTTCATTTGCTGTCTGTTCCTCGTCATAGGTGCTCCCAGTTTTGCCACAGGAGATGGAAGCGGATCGGCGATAAATCCCTTTCTTGTTGTTCATGTGTGGGAATCGTTTTTCTTCACAGGTACCGACGCCATCATTATTGGTTCGATCAAGTAGGAGGAAATGAAAATACTTTGCTTCTGTGATGATTATCAGCCCATGCACATAATGCAATCGTGTTTGTTCATACAACTGAGCAGTCACCGCAAAAGATACTGATACGTACATCGTTGTTCGATCATGTCTGATCCGAATTCAGCTCCGCTGATTTTGTACGAGGTCCATCTCTATGGCCGTTGGCTCATGAGCAGTGTTGGCAGATTAAGCGAGATAGGCAATCCGACGACACAAATCGCTGTGGTTGGAAACTTTGTCAGTGCTACGACTTTTGCCTTGGCTGGATACAGAGAGATGGCCATATTTCCGTTCACTGTTGGGTACGTTTCAACATGCTCCTGGACTTGAATAGTTTACCAGCTCAAAATGTTATGTCAAGCTTCTACAGTTGAAAGAATGCCTTTATCAGCTCTTGAGGATGACCGACTGAGAGATTGAGATCATGCATGTCGCAGGATCATGCACCAGATGGTGGTTTTTGCAGTTATATTTTCCAGAATTCCTCCGAAAAAGGTCATTGGTGTGCAGCTAAGGCCTTCTTACTTTCTATTTGTAGCTCCTCCCAGCGTTGCTGCGGTGTCTTGGAGTCATATACAAGGGAGGGTCGATGATTTTGCCACCATACTCACATTCACGGGAGTTTTTTTCCTGATCATCATGGTGAGATTAGCTTCTTCAAGCAAGGTTAAGTCATATGATGGGATCCGTCAGTCTTTCGAAGATGTATACCAAACTTCATGCATGACACAAGGTTACGCTAACCAGTTATCGTTTTTGCAACTTCTCATGACAGTCAGCTCCTTTTATCTCTCAACACTTTACGCAGGAGCTCTTTCCACAGCCAGACTTTGCTCGTATCAGACTCCGTACCTACTGATGCAGTCTCAAACCCTGCCATGAATACTGATATCGTTATATCCGCACTTTTCTAGGTCTCCCGCGCAAGTTTTTTCTTCACAGGAGTGAGGTACGCTAAATATTGCAGTGTCCCGCACGATATGGAATTCTGAAAGTTCTGATGACACTGAGAAATATTTTTTCCTGCTTGACATCCTGCATAGCTCAACTGTAAGGCCTGTTGCTGGTACTTGGATATCGGAGGTAGAATCACAGCTGATGTGTTCTTCCATCCGCTGGTGGTTGTCAATAGATCCAGTTGTTAGTGCGCACTCAGGTAAAGTTGAAAGTAAGATTCTTGAGGGAAAGGTGTGAAGCTGGAAGTACCTAGAATTGGCTGCAGAACATTCCCACTCCAGATTCATAATGTATAGCCATGTAGGATTCCACGACGAAACTTTATTGAAGTATCATCCCGAATGCAGGTTTTCGTTGGCGTGGTGGGCTTTCACTTTCCCGTCTGCGGCCATAAGCATAGCAGTCATGAATTACGCATCTTCTAGATCCATCGATCCCCCACATATGAACGTCCCAAAGATATTTTCATTCGTCTTGGTTCTTTCTGCTAGCCTAATGTTGATAGCCATATACGTATGTACCGTCCGCCAAGCCCTTTCAGGTGAACTTTTTGGAAAAGACGAGGTGGTGAAATCTGTTCTCCACGTCTCGGAAGAAGGTGGACTTGAAACTCAAACATTAGCATTAGAAGAAACTTAGATCATTTGTGTCTTCAAGTCTAGGGATAATAGATTATGCGATCTAACCAGGTGGGACAGATACCTTGTGACTGATTGTGCCAATCTTACCATTAGTCCGTGAGTGTTGTGTCCCAACGGCTATGTAGAGTATGTATCAAATATTAGAATTGTCTATTTACTGGTTATAGTTTATAAGCAGTCTAACGTATCCCCAGTTTGTAGATATACTAGCGTCTGATATGGGTTGATTGAATCTCTGGGCTAGAGAATGTCGTGTGCTGGAAGGCACACCAAGTGTGATCAATTATTGCAACACGCATCAGTTAATTAGATGAAACTTCTCATGGAACGCTATGCGGAAGAATTGTAGTATATTTCTTTCGGACTTGGCAAGGCTGGGTTGTAATGGATCATCCAAATTACAAAGTACAGACTGCATCAATACTGTGTTTTTGCAAACCATCCCTATTGAGACCTTGAGGCTGGTGATGTATTATGTTAGATATTGTAGTAAGAAGTTTTTATTTATACCATTGTAGACAAACACTAGTTTTAGGGGGATTTTTTATGAGAAAAGTTACCTGTATTTAATAAAAATAGGCTAATTCTTGAAAGGAATTTTATATTTTTTGGATAGAGAGATATAAACACAGATTGTACCGCTGACTTGGTTGATCAACTTAACATTTAAATTTTCATTTTTTAAAAGTCTCTTGCTCTACAATGATTAGAAAGTACAGTATTATCCTAGTTCCGAACTGCGAAGATATTCATAAATTAATTTAATCTTTGAAATTTTAATTACATTATGAAAATTGTCGAATCACTGTGATTCAAAATTTTCTATAGTTCCATGTTTCGTCATTTCATTTTATCTAAGTCACAATTTTCTGTATCACTATCATGTAGTTACTCTTGAAAGGCTGAAGGTGATACAATGTCGAGGTCGATTTGTCCAATTTTTTGGTTATTTGGGAGCAATAATAACGTGTATTATATCATGAATACACGTTATGCAGCGACATTCACACTTTATCAGTGTGAGTGTCGCTGATCAAAATGTGGAAGTATCTATAATGCTAAGCCCTTCTTAAACACACAAGAGGTTTTTTCTGAATCAATTATAGCGATTTCATTTCTTGATCCAATCCTAGCATTGTCTGGTTCGATTGTGGCAATTAAATTCAATCATCAGTCAACGTAAACTTGCTGATTCCTTTGTATGTGAAGGTAATGAATAAAGGAGAGTTAGTTAGGACAATAATAATGTATGTGAATCAGTTACCCAAAAAAATTGTAGAATCAGACTTGCTTCTACTATACAATTAGGCAAACCTTATTGGAGGAAAAAAGTGTATTATTTATCATCGACCAGTACCCCTAGAGGTTTGCTCATGTTTTCACTTAAACTTTTAGTTTCGAAATACAAGACCAAGAAATTCACCCGTTCTTTTCAAGGTAGCCGATATGGATCTCCTTGATCTTCTTGTATCACACCACCTTCAATTTTTGATTTCAAAATTGGGCTTTCGCTCTATTTCTCATGTATCTTTTAAACTCATTTCATCCCTTGAATTGTAGGGTGTTACTTGCACTTTTTAGAAAAAGTCTAATCCAATATTTTAAAAAAAAACATCTTTGCATCATCATTTTCAGCCCTTCGATGAGTTAGACTTACAATGAATTGAAAAAAGATATAAAAAAATTTGCACTAAATTATTCAAACCAAAATATAAATTCAAAATTCTGAAGTCTTAAAACTGTTTATTAAATTACAAGACGTAATATTATTACATCCTAGAAAAAAATTTACATGAATAAAAGGTAAAATTTTAGCAAAAAATTACCTTCATTAACATACGAGAATTTTCTATATGATATATATATATGTTTTTATCAGGTCGTATAGTAGTTATGGTTTCGACCTCAGATTGGTATTTTTACAGATTATAATGTAACTCTCATGTATTCTGATTAATTCAAATCGTACTGTTTCTTTGGCACCTCTACACAAAACTGTAGTTTCTATCTATTTTCTGGAAATATTTCAAAATCAAAAGCATCAAATATTTACACCAAATGCCTAAATTTAGACATGTTGATGACATCATTTTCTTTCTCCAAAATGAAAGACAACCAATATTATTTAAAAGAAGACATATTTTGTTGAGTATATATACAGAAACTTAAAAGATTTTACAGATGTCTATCAAACTGTCATAAATAAGTACGAATACCTCCTCATGTATCGTGGCTTCTTATGTATGAATCAAGAAAAGGAAGAACATGAAACAAGCTTCTACCCATCAATTCCAAAGGAAAAGAAATTTTAAAAAGAACTCAAAGATATATACTTTCCGAGCACGCAGCAAGGAGATCAAGAAAAGGCTTCTTTCCTCGGCGAGCCATGCAGTCTATTAGAAAGTGCACGAAGAAAGGCATGGTAGCAAAGGAAAGGCAGCATGAGAAGAACGAATGTGCATGATGATAGTTGAGAATAAAGTACAAAAGAAGTAATTATGGCCGATGGAACATCGCTTCCCAACCGTTAGTTAGTGTGTCCTCGTATGGTATTTCTGGAATATTTTATCATATCATGGAATCACTAATTGGGCTCATCCAAATTTGTCTTCTTCCTCCTCCTTTGGACATGATGAAGAATATGTCCTCTTAGTCGGGGACACAGTTTCCTTCCTCCACGTAAGATCGGTCCAACTTCAGTACGCCACGTTGCCGGTTAGGTGTCTATCGTGCCGAACTGCCACCGGCAGACACTGCAGGGGCGGACATTACCCTCGCGACGTCAGTGGTCGCTGCGACGATGCCGATCGAAGGCCCCTCATTCACGGGACCGATGGGGCCCGGCGGCCGCGCTGCCCGAGCGGAAATCTCCACCATCATGGCCCCCACTTCGGAAACTGCTCTGCCGGCGTCGGCAAACTTTCGGCGACGCCCTGCATTTCCTTCTCCCCCGCGCCAATGAAGACCGGGCTCGAGATCCCGTCCGCCGAGTCGCTGACCGCTAGGAACTCGGATGCAGGTCCGAATACGGGGCCGAGGCCCCACCCTTTCGTTCTGGCGCCAGGATCGCGACCGCGAATCGTAGTCCCCTCCAAGACTTCCCTGGTCCCTCCATTTTAGCCACGCTGGCAACTAAAAGGTACATGTCAACTGAATCAGAAGCGCATCGCCAGATCCGCCTAGGGTGTCAGTAACGGAAGAATATTAATTTATTGGTAATCGGGTTTCTTTTTATTCTTTTATTCACAGCGAGTACTTTCACTGGTTTGTGCGAAGGTATATGCAAAAAAAATTACTAGCTTTCAGATGAATCCAAAAAAAAATCTCTACGATGGTTTGCTTCTCTGTCGTACAAACTAGATTAAAATTGGAGAGAAATCGGCAAGTAAGCGATTTGATATATATTCTCGGAGTGATTAGCAACCGCGATTTCAGCTGAAATTGTAGAACTTGGAGAGGTAAGAAAATTGGTCATTTAGCTTTGTATTTAGCTGACAAAAAGTTGGATAGGCCGGGAAGGAAGGGGGGCTTAACTTACTCCCCAAAAATCTAATAAATTCAGAACCTGTGAAATTTCGATATCTCGTGGTCAGCTGTGAGTTTAAAACTCCTAGAGTATAAAATAGCGATGAATTTGTTGTTGCAATGTCGGGCATAAAGTCAAATCTATTTCTAATGTGATGCCCATAAAATTACTTACCCAGCTATTTGTAAGGTGATGTGTTTTTTGATTGAATTATGTCATCATTCAAGTAACTGATCATTAATTTCAAGTTCGTGAATAGTACCATATTTATCATGAGTCATTTGATTTGAAAAGATCTTATTTTCTGTGATATCTCCTGTTTCGCAATCTTCATATCAATGCTGCCAAATATCCAAACATGATATGTCTAAAAACCCCGATTGTGTACGTCACTTTGATCATTGGAGTTGACAGTGTATAACCTACACTTCTAAATGTATTGGGCTAATAGAATGTCATATGTCATATGTCATATTTGATACCTTCGATTGTGACATCTAGTGGACAATCGAGACATCGTGAAAAACAATAACGAAGCTACAGGGGCAAAGGAATTAACTTGACTACTTTGATTGTTACATGACAATTTGAATTGTTAAAAAAAAAATGATCATGTGTATAAATATGTTTCACGTGTCACATTACTTATATATATGTAAAGCACCAAGAAAACATGACATGTGTACAAAAACGTATGCATGTTTTATCAATCGAGTTGATGGAGTAGCAAGTATACTTATATGTGATTTTTGGTCCATAGGATGACACGTCTCATATTTGATACCTTTGATCGACACGCCTCGCTGGCGATGGAACTATCTCGAGTAACAAGCTAGCTGATTTAAATATCACAACTTTATCTGAATCCAAACATCATGTAGCTCTTGAAACATTAATTCAAATCAATATTGAATCTTAATCTTATTATTAAACCATTTGAACAAAATAATGCTAAAGATGAACTAGTTTATCAACTAAACTGATAGCTTGTAGCCTGTCTTTGATGTGTCCAAATATCATAAAAACACAAATGAAAACGTATCATTATTCAAAGAAATGTTTGCATCACACGTTCTAAACTAAAACTTGCAAATGTCAATCATACGCATCTAGCTTCGCTGAGCAAGAAGAAAAGAAACTGTTATGTTTGACCTATCGCACCTGCATCACTCCAAATATGTAAAACACCTTGGCTGGAATCTCAAAAAAATCATGGTTCCCATCCAAATGGATGCGATAATCTAACATGACCATTTCTTACCAAAAACATACGTTCACAAACCCATCAATATTGTCTGTCTTGCTTCGGAAGAGGACTTCATGAGTCATGACAACTTACTGCATGTCGGACCTCCAGGCATTTCTCAAATAATTCTACTCTGATTCACGAGTTACAGCTGTTTGGTCGCCAAGTTGCTTCAGTAAGGCTAGATATTACGGTTAGTCACCGGTCACCTGGGATGCGGACTCTTGGGTTTGGACACGTGTAAGTTCAGATATCTTGACCCTACAGGTGAGATCGGACAGTCCGGTAGCTATTCTAGGACCGAACAGACTCACCGGTGAGAAACGTCCGACACGAAAGCTGCGGACTCGCCCGGTCACTGACACAGAGCGTCCCCATGTTTCCGCCATTATGCACGGTCCTCGGACTGCCGTTCCCAGGACCACCCTTCGTTGTAGGCGGCAGTCCTTGACGCCGAACTTCGTCCCGTCCCTGAGTCCAGCCACGCCCACCCCGTCACGGTTCTTGCTCAGCACCTGGTAAAGGGGAGTCGAGTCTTGACGGACAGTGTCAGCCATCCACGTTCGTTCTTGGTGTGCAGATAAATAGTAACTACGGTATCTAAGATTATGGTCTGCCGCCTCTGGGTCCAGTTGTCAGTCAACGGCGTCACTAGGGTACCGGCGGTGGCATCCTTAAAGAGGAGATATCGTCGACGTGAAGAAATGTATATGACAACGCTGCGTAGTTCGTCGTCGGCGATCTTTTCTTTCGGCCGGAGTCGCGGACATTTGACGCGGTTCGGGAGTTGGAAATCTATGCCTCGTAGTTGACATGTTTGACGTGGTTCTTTAGAAGTTTGCCACACAAGTAGCTCTAGAGGTCCAAGTTCCAAGGTCCATTCCACTCAAAGTTGTAAGTTTGAAGTTGTAAGCTATTGAGGGATGCGGAGATCCACAGATTTGGCCTTTTAGGGTGACTTAGACTTAGACTTGGTGTAAAGAAGTACTGAAGTAAACTTACCTCTCAGGTTACCATTACCTTATACTTTGTCACTTAGATGTTACAGAAATTATTTAACCATCGTTTCATACATTAAGTGACCACTTAATGTATTCATTGCTTTCCTTGGTGAACTTGTAAGTTCTGGAGGATGATTTCGCTTATGTGAGTCATATCTAATAGTCATAAATTCTTTATGAGATCTTTGTGACAATACTAGGATACTTAAACTTGATCAACTAAAATATGTATAATATTCTTGATTCTTTGAAATACTGATGATTATTTTATCTGTTACTGTGTTCTTTTTGAGCTTTGTGGTGTAAGAGCCCAACTAAAAGGTGAATATGTTCAATCCAGTTAGTTTTGAGTGTAAAGTCAATTAAGAAACTCATACACACAGTTTTTGAAACGATAATCGTATACTAATGATGAACCGTAATAATTATTGGGAATTGTTATATTGATCTATTTTTTAATTCATGATTTTTTTAAAAATAAAATATAAAACCCATTAATTTTTTTATCCAATAATATAATATATTAAAAACTTGTACCATTGAGCAAATGATTTTCAGATTTTTAAATTATAAATGTGTATAAAAAATTCAAAATAGAATTTTTTAAAAGATAATTTTTATTTATGATTACAATTGTAGGTAATTTTATCATTGAATTATAATCAGAATGGTGTAATTAAATTTTTAAAATTTTTTTGGTTACATTGTACAATATTGAATTGAATTAGTGAATTGATAATAATCTTCAAAGATTTTTTTATTCTATCTATTTGAATAACTAATAATTCACATCCTATCAAGACAAAAATCTTTGATAAATTTGAACATAAAAAATTGCACAGTTTTTGCATTAATTTTTATCAAATCATTGATATTCATGTGCATCAAAATAATATTTATGAATAATTGCTAATTTTTACTAATATTTGCAATTTATTTTATAATATCAACTTTTTATTGAAAAAATCTTGTAATTTTTCTAAGTATCAATTTCCAAATATTACTCATTATATTAGTAACAAGTTGATTTTTACTTGAAGCAACACATTTGCAATCACAGTTGATAATTTATTATTATTATTTTCAAAAAATCCAATTTTTTCTTAATATAAGATATTGATGAAAAATATTTGATGGTGTTTGATTATTGATAGAACTAATAGATTGATGATAAATATGAGTTTATATCTTTTTCAATTGAAGAAGTTAGAAATATGAATAGGAAGCACACACTAAACATAATTTTGAAATATAGTATTTATCTAATATCTTTTGATCACGAGTGACTGTTGGTTTTAATCTCCAAAGTTGAAAATCATCTTTTGAGTAGGAGCTTGAAGAGAAAAAAAATCAAATAAAGATGAATGAAAATCTTAGATGCAACAAAACATATTAATCTCATTGAGATGCTTTTGTTAGCTTTTCCATACTAATCGTTGATTTCATACATCTACCATTCATGAATTACTTTATATCTCTCTGCTTTTAGTTTTATGATTAAAATGAATTTTCAGCTTTAAAACCAAATTTATACTGCATGCTCATTGTTTTTCTTATCAATATTACATACTATAATTAAAAAATGGTATGGACTATATGTTCATAATCATCACTTCATCATTGAGAGATATAAAGAAGCAACATAAAAAGTAATAGTTTTGCATCAAAAAATATTAAAAGACTATCTCAAGTTCCATGTGATTTCAGCAGAGTTTCTACACATTTTCTCCCATAAATTTAGTATTGCGATTGTAGATCATAAAGAATTTCCACTCTTTTGGAGTTTTATTTATTGATTAATTGACCTCCTCAATGGGAGAAGATATGACACTTCCAAAAGGTGAAATTGTCGGTAAGTTTAACGATTGACCGCGTAACTTATTTAGTAACTGATAACCTTGTCCCTTTGGTCTGGCTAATGATCTCCTAATGAAATGGAAAAAGGATAGATAGTATTAGGAGGAATGAAATCTCATAGAGTTAGGTGCAGATAAATGGCGAAGCAGCCTAGAAAGATTCTTACCTTGGGAAAACAAAAAAGACCAGAGAGCTATTCTCTCCAGTTATGAAATTGCTGCCAGCAATTTCATAAAGAATCCTACTATTACATGAAATCTTGGGGATTCACAGGAAAGTGAAGATGCGGACACTATTACAGCGTATAGTCGTGACATGAGAAGCTTATCGAACATGTTTTGCCGCACTTCATCAAAGAAGTTGAAAAGAATCAATACGTTGAGTCTTCATATAAGACAACTAAGTAGTGGATGAGACAAGGGGGCCGAGCAAATTGGTGAATATCTATCGGTCAGCGAAAATCATGAAGGTTGCTGATTGCAACAGATCCCGTATTTGTTGCAGTGTTTAAGCTTCCTCTAAACTGTGTTTTGTTTTGCGGTGACACGTGATTTTAGATGTCGTCTAGGCACATTGTTGTACGACAAGTACAAGAATTGCCACATGTAGTACAAGTACTTGTAAGTTACAAGAACATATGAACCCATACTATTAACACAAGCTAGCTCCCCTGCTCATTTGCTTCTCTCATCCTCAAGAGTACAATTGTGCAAGAATATTGTACCTCTCCTTGCCTCACGTTGTACATAAGTTTACTTACGTATATGATTATTCTCTCATTTTGTATATGCTAGATGAGATTCTTGCTCATGTAACTACTATCTTCGTTCTGCGTTAGTTGTGTAGTTTCGTAATCTTGGGTATTTTCTCACATTCTGATTAGATTTAGGTCCAGCTTTGCGATGTATCGAAAGGTATGTGTATCTTTGATTATTTGTTTTATATGTTATATTATGAGCCACAATATATATTTACTAGAGTTACAAAAGTTATGTCTTATGCAAGATGTGACTTGTTGCCCACTTTGAGTTAATAAGATTGTTACCCACGATACAGGAAGGCATTTGATGTTTTTTAAGGATTAATGTTTCATGGCAAAAAAATATTGGTTTGCCTTGAAACCTATTTGAGTCAAAATATTTATATACTTTGTTCGACAGAACCATGTTATTTGATTGCTAATATGATATTTCCTATCTTCTATGAGCTAAACTTTGGTAAATAATTATGTTATGTTATTTGTAATGAGATACTATGACTTGAAAGATGGTTATTGATGCAATGAAACCATTTATAATTATCATACACATGAAAAACTTTCTTTGAAAACGGTTTTTCACGTACATTATGCTTTTCCAAAGACAGATGATCCAACTTTTTGAAATGAGAATCCAGGAGAGTGAAACTTTAATATCTAATGTTTCAAAAGAAAAGTTATGCATAAGAATTAACTTCTTATTTGATAGTTATAGGCACGGAGAGTACACTACTTATGCGACATAAGATGGCACTCTTATTAGTTTATTGAAGAATTGTTTCAAAAAATGATGATATTTCTAGGCTTAGAGCATATCGGAAGGACTGAATTACATTAGGTGATGTTTCTTCAAATGACCGTGTAATCCAAAATCAACATGAGTAGGTAGATCAAAAATATTAAATGCGGTAGTACTCAATTCTATTCGACCGTCCCCGTTAATGTCAACCGGATGTGTTCGGAATTCATGAGCAAAGTGCCAGAAGAAGAAACCATGCGACACAATGCAGTACAGTAGTACGTGCCCGCAGCTCTCATCAGCAGCAACCGAGCGATTCAGTAGAAATCTTGAAGCTCTGTCCTGAAGATGATGAACGAAAATGCGGGACTTCGAATTTCCTGACACCAAAAGCAAGAACCAAAAGCACTGACCTCGAGGGGAACGCGAAACATCGGCCAAGAAACGCGATCGCGAGAGAGGGAGGGCTAACTCGAGGTGATCGCGGGCGGCCCGCAACGGTCCTCCCCCTCCGAGGGGCCGACAGAAGCTCATGCGAATGAGGAGCGTTCCAGAGCGTACCGTTACCGTACGTACATCGAGCCTGGCCATTTTCAAGAAAGCGAGAACATTGGCCCCCGTTCAAGAATCGATCGGCCGATCGGTGTTCGCGTTTTCGGCATTGTTTCGCCCGTGCGACGACCGAAAGGACTGGGATCGTCATACGATGCCGCCTCCAGTCGGATTAGCAGCACTGTGGGGTGCATTATTGGATGTGAGCAGAGCAGATTGATCTTCAAGACTCGAGGATGGCTGCAAGGATGGTGCTCGTCTGGGTCTACTGTAGTGAGGTGACACGATCTTGATCCGGGAGGCTGTGGCACTCGCGGGACGTGATTCTCATCAAGGGAGCGATGGATGTTGACGACTGACGCGAAGATGCTGCGAGTGATGGGGACTTGGCGTCGCTGCAAGGTTATTTAGCATGTGGGAACTTAGGGCTCGAAATAAAGATCTTTAAGCTGGCGAAAGTTGAGAACTAAACGACAGTACGGACACTTGGAAAGTGTATCGGTGCCGGCGAAGGTGTTTTCACAAATAGCTCTTGCGATTTCTTTCAGTAGAGTTTCAAGCCGAGCTGCTTTGTCCTTCTTTTCTCCGAGTAAATCAATTTTCTCCTTCCTCGGGAGGCTGGAAGCTGCAAAGTCCATCAACCCAACGCGAGTCTTCTCTCGTGACGACGCCGCATGACGATTTTGACTTGTTCCAAGTTCAGAATTAGCCGTGATCGTCCAGGACGAGTTCGAGGCCAAAACCGGCCAGAAAAATCGAGGAATTCGCAGGGTTTCAATCCGAGGGAAAAGGCACCGCCTAAAGCCCATGCGACAGTGGAAGACAGGAAACACATGCAGCCAGAAAAATAAGAACGATCATCGCTCCTGCCCCGAGTCGAATACGGTAGAACTGAACTGAACTGAACGTAGGAGCTATGGCAGCCTCGGAGACGAACATTCGCGAGCGGTGGAATGCATCGATCGACCATCCCTCGGCCTGCCTTTCGCGTGAAGTACGCAACCGGACCGAACCGGACTGGTCGAGCGGGCCCGGGCGGGCCGGGCCGGGCAGTCAGGACCCGGTCTTTACCAAGGACGGTTATTGGAAGGCTTGGCAGAACAGTTCGTACTTGCCGCGGGCTCGCCTTGCCTTCGCGGTTCTTTCACTCGGCGCCCTTTCTTTTCAACTGTCGCGCGCCGGGGAGGGATGATGAACCCCACGCGGGCGACCTCGGTCCTCCACGACGCAGAACCGGTCCGAGTAGCCGGTCTGACACCACCACCGCCTGCGAGAGTCCCATTCGGCCCGGCCCTGTCCGCTGTTCCTGTCTGGAGTCGGGAGTCCGGACGGGCGGACGGATGCGGAGCGGCGTACGGCACAACGACAACAGTCTAACCGCGGCCAGTGGACCGAAATATTCAGCCAAGGCCCCCAGCGAGGCGCCACCGTCGGCCCTGGAAACCGTTCGGTGGCCGGCATCTTTCCCGTGCTCCGGCTCTCTTGTGCCTCCTGGGCCGCAGCAGCGCCTGCTCCGTCGGTCTTCGCTCGGGCGGGAGGGAGGGCGCTGTCTGTCGCCTGAGGGACGGACGGACGGACGGACGGACGGAGGGAGGGAAAGGAGCGCGCATTGATTGCCAAGGGAAGGGAACAGGCGGGCCGGCGGGGCGAGGAGCGGGGCCGTGCCATGCAAGGTGCACGTCGGAGCGGGTGATCGTGGGTTGTGCAGCCGGTTGTGTCGCAGGGGCAGCAGGAAGAGGAGCAGGGGCCCAGGGGACACCAGGGGGCCAGGGGCGGGGCCAGGGCAGGGAGGTGGAGCCGCAGGGAGGACCGGAGGTACACACTGCTTTTGCTTTGACCTGCGGTGGGGCTGAACTGGGCTGAACTGGGCTGAACTGGGTTGGGTTGGGTAGGTGCTGGTTTACGTAGGAAAGAGAGAACGGGACGGAGGAGGAATGTATGCGAGCCCTAAAACAGGGGAGGGGGACGGATCGCCAGTATCGAGTCAGGGATCTCGAGGCGGGAGCGCGGGAGGAGGGCACCGAGGGCGACCGAGGGAGGGCGAGGCGAGTTGAGGTGAGGGGAAGCTAACTGAGGCTGGAGGCTGGAGGGCAGAGCTGAGAGAGAGCTGAGGTGAGCTGCCAGCCGGCTACAGTCGGGAGTCACAGCAATCAGCGTGACGGAAATTCGGTGTTCTCTTTTCATTATTTAAAGCTGGTGGGGCTGGGGCGATTAGGCACGAGAGAGGACGAGTGAGTTAGAGTGTGCTTGTTTTAAGCTCGTGTCGTTGGACAACAGTCAGCACACAAGCAAGCGCAGCTCAGCAGAGCATCTTCCGGCGCTCGGAGGTTGCGATTGCTTTCGTGTCTTTGATGGTATTTGTTGGCCTGGATGCTTCGTGACTCTGAGTGTGCTTGTATTCCACTGGGGATTGTAGGCGTCGGAGTTCGGGCGGTGTGAGGTCTTGGCTCTCGGAGGGCGACTGGTGGTGAACTTCGTTCTTCTTGTGTCGTGGAGTCGTAGCAGAAGGCCGGCGCTTGCTCTACTGGTAGTTCGTCGCTCACTCTGCATCGGGCAATCGTCCAAGAGATTGTTGCCTGGGCACGCGCAGCGAGTGTTTCTGCTGCTTTGGGGATTTTGCAAGGTCATGGTGAGGACATTTTAGGCTGGTCCTCCTGCACCGACTTCTGATCCGGAGGGAGTAGTAATGATGAGCAACATGAGTATAAATCACCGCCGCCACGATGCCGAGAGCCCGCAGGTGCCAGAGGCTTACTCTCCAAAACCCTCGAAACCTTGGACTTCTGTTAGACCGATTGACTACCTTCTGAAGGAGCAGCGCCTCGTGTTCATCCTGCTCGGTATGGGAATTGCCTCATGCTACTTCATGCTCCAACCTGAAAGCATGTTCGCCGCTGAACAACGCAACACGTACGCAATGATGGACACTATGGGTAGTGGGCACAGGATCAATCTTGAAACTCCTACATTTCCCGTCGTGAAGCAACATCCTTTCATCGGGAGCTCGGGTGGTAAAATTCCCCTCGGCCTGCCGAGGAAACCCTTGCGAGTTGTTGTGACAGGAGGTGCCGGTTTCGTGGGAAGTCATCTTGTGGACCAGTTGATGGATCGAGGAGACAGCGTCATCGTTGTGGACAATTTCTTCACCGGTAGGAAAGAAAATTTGCAGAGACACTTTGGCGATCCTCGCTTCGAACTCATCCGTCACGACGTCGTCGAGCCAATTCTGCTGGAGGTTGATCAGATTTACCACTTGGCTTGTCCTGCGTCACCTGTGTACTACAAGCACAACCCTGTCAAGACAATCATATCCTTTTGCAACTTATAGTTTGCGTTTTGGTGTTTCTTGGGAATCTTTTCTGCGGGTATTTTATTTGCAACTCAGTGGCGGCTTTTGTCTCTGGAATCGACGTAGGACTTTGCCATTTTCTAGATTGACCAAATTGCTGAAGGTTGATTTGCACAATTTGCACACCATTTCAAGATCTTTGAGATTCTAGATTATTGTGTTACTGCTTTTGCGCCGCGAAAGCAATGTCGCCATGATGGAGGACCCTTCAGCCTTCTGTCGAATCTTTGAATAGGTCCTCTATACGAGGTTGTTTATTCCTTTGCCAGGAACTTTACGAGAAATAGTCGTAACATGTTCCGCGTCTTGATTGTCTTGTGTCTTCTTTTCCTTAACGATGTTCATACAAGACCAATGTTGTTGGAACTTTGAACATGCTCGGTTTGGCGAAGCGAGTCGGAGCTCGTTTCTTGCTCACCAGTACCAGCGAGGTCTACGGAGATCCTCTGGAGCACCCACAGAAGGAAGAGTACTGGGGCAACGTGAACCCAATTGGTAAGTCAATATGTCCAGAGGAAGACCTCGAATGAACTTCATTTTTTTGCAGGCAGCAGCAGGGCAGATCCGATTCTAGGATTAGTCCCTTATGGTCTGTAATCGTGTGTGTGTTGTCCACATTGAAATTTTGTAGGAGTTAGGAGTTGCTACGATGAAGGAAAGCGTGTCGCCGAGACGTTGACCATGGACTACCACAGGGGAGACAAGGTTTCGGTGAGCAGCCATTTTAACCTTTTGCCCTTCCTCGCAGATTTATCCGTTCCACGGTCAGCTTAGGTTTGCCGGTCCATACAACCAGTTCCTTCAGATGCCAATCTGATGCATCGTTGATTTATCATGCAGGTCCGAATTGCCAGAATTTTCAACACTTACGGTCCCAGAATGTGCATCGATGACGGACGCGTCGTCAGTAATTTCGTCGCGCAGGTTTGATTCTTGAACGAGCGCCTCAGGAGTCAGAAAGATTGCACTCTCGCCGTCGTCTGTTTCGTTAGTTGTGGCTGGGATAACCGCAACTTCTTGTCTGCTCATCGATAATTGTAATCAAAAGTGACTGCCTACATTTATGACAAACAGCTAAACGACGAAGTGATCTCGGTGATGCAGGCTCTTCGAAAGGAGCCAATGACTGTCTACGGTGACGGAAAGCAAACCCGTAGTTTCCAGTTTGTGTCAGATCTGGTATGTGCCTTTCAGCCCAAGTGTTTTCAGTTGTCAGTCGTAGCCCCTTTTCCTGACGTGGGATTTCACCTAATGGTCTCCTCCACCACGTGATCGTCGTATGCTTGCAGGTCGAAGGATTGATGCGATTGATGGAGGGCGAGCACATCGGTCCATTCAATCTTGGAAACCCCGGAGAATTCACAATGTTGGAACTGGCTGAAGTAAGTGTGCAGGGCACTTGGGCCGTCTTTGTTCTTGACCGGGGATTTCAGGTCGTCATTGCTGCCATGTGCGATGATGACGAAGCCGCTGACACGGTGTGACCTTGTGTTGCAGGTCGTGAAGGAAGTTATCGACCCTAATGCCAAGATCGAGCACCGTCCCAACACCGAAGATGATCCTCATATGCGCAAGCCCGATATCAGCAAGGCGAAGGAATTGTTGGGATGGGAGCCTAAGATTGCCCTGAAGGACGGTCTTCCCTTGATGGTCGAGGACTTCCGACGAAGGGTGTACGGCGACACCAAGATCGACACAGTAGTTTAATTGGACCTCTTAGCAAAGGACTATTCATGACAGAAGGAAGTGCTCTCGTGTAAATAAGACCCTGATTTGCATGTATGCAACACAATTGATGCATGATCTACAAATGTAACATCCACAGAAAGCTGTAGGTAAAGGAGCCGTGTGCTCAGTTGCAGGGCGTTGGTTGTGGAATTCTTGTCTCTTCAGCCGAGAGCATTCGCTCTGAAATTTTTTCGAAGGTTAATCATTTCTGCAGGGTCTAGTTAGGTGTCTCATATCTGATCCTTGGAGGGAACACATCAGGGTTGGGCTTAATCTGCAGACGCTACGTAGGCCTTCATACCATACCTCTCAATTTTGTGCTAGAGAGAGGGAGCTGGTAGTCAGCTCCAAATTGAAAGGTGACATCAGCAAGGTTCTTTAGATATAAGAAAATTCTTTACTGTAATAAGAGAAACTCAGCCTTTTCGTTTGGAATATGTCTCGACTTCCTCCCCCCTTGCTCCCCTCTTCTCTGCATCAGCGTGCTCAAGTCATTGGCTCTTCTGGGCCTCGTCGCACACTCTTTCGATGCTTGCGCTCTCTTCTGCTCTTTGACTTTGGATTTTGGTTGCGCTCTCTCTGCTCGGAACAAGTCGTCGGTCTGATAGAAAAGTCTGTGCGGAGGAAGGGATCGAGGCATGGCCAACGAACAGCAGTGGGCCAGCTCGAATGCGAGTTTCTTTCTCGTCCAGTGCACACGTGAGTGCGCTGTACTTCGTGTTGCGAGACTCTGGACCGTAATGCACGAATCCTTGCGTGGGGCCAGCGAATGGCCGCAGTAACAATGAAGGACGTGCACGCCAACTTGTCCCATCCAATAATGCCCCCTCCCCCCAGCGCCTCGGCGTACGAGCAGAGACTGACAGAATTCAAATTCCAAATAGTTCTCAGTTGGAGCCGGTCTCCCGGATAAGGAGGCAGTGGATAACTCGCAGGTTTGCTCCTTAGTACAGCTCACGACGACCATCACATCCGAAACCCGGGAATGGGACAGAGCCGACCAGTGCAGGCAGATCTTCACGATGGTGTCGTGAAAAGGTACATGTTCGCGCGTCATTAACTGTGCGCACATCGCTCACCCCGACGTGGGATTGATTGATTGATCGACAGATCGATGATGCCGTAGTTTCCCGCCGCATGCCGATCACCCACTGTCGAATGTTTTGGCCTCGCGGAAGTCTCATTCTCATCCAATCCCCACTCACAGAACACTTTACCTCTAGTTCAGTCACTCCCCCGTTCGCCCGCCCGTCCGCGATCCTCACCGAGGAAATTGTGACGACTCGATCTCAATTCTCCAGGCACCTGGAGAAGAATCGCTCTGGACCTCGGGCCATGGAGTCATTATAAGCTCTCTCTGCGTCGACAGAACAACGTTTGACTCCTCCCGGTCAGATCCAAATTTAGCGCAGGCAGGCGACCGATACATTCCTCATGACTGTGAGTCGACAAAGGCTTGCCTTGCTGGTGGCGACAGACTCGAGCACAAGGTTTGACATACATCAGGCCCCCAAGATAGAATGGGAACAGCCCGTGGCAGCTGTACAGTGAGCACAAGGGGAAGGGTGAGGGTGAATTCATCGAGCAAACATTTCGACAACACCGCGTGAAAGAACGAGAAAATTAGGAAAAGATTGAGTAGTGAATGGAGCGCCATGACTGCCGGCAAATCTGAAAGCGTCCTTCGCCCGGCACTTTCACATTCTCGGGCTTATGGAGGATCTCGTTTATGGAGGATTCCAACAAGCTAAGCTAGGGCACAGTTTGGTGAAGAGGTGACAAGGCTAGTCGCCTCGTCAGATTCGGTGGCCCCATCGAGCACGCCGTCGGTCTTTGACTAGAAAGGCACTCTGCTGACTATTGGGACATGATCTAAAGGCGACTCTGCATGCAGCGGGGCCGGATCTTTCACGGGAAGCGGTGGTGGTGATGCCGAATCGACCTCTGGTTGCATGGACATTTGACCTTCGCGGGAGGTGCTCATGTCACGCCATGTCGTCCTGGTCCGCCTCGGCGGCAGCAGCAGGAGATGGAAGTGCGTGGTCGTGAAAGCGAAGCTGCCTGGGAGGGACTGCGAATGGAAGAAGCACATGGCGAGCGGCAATCGGGGGGCATCGATTTGTCAGCACTGCTGCTCGAGTGCGCGAATCTCTCTCGCGCGACGAAGGATGCCTCGCTCGAGGCACCTTTCCAGCCTGCTGCTGCAGGTGTGCTTCGAAAGTGCGCCATTCGGTGATTGCTGCGGTGGCTCGAGGCTCGGGCTCAGAGGAAGTCGGCGCCCATGTGCACGCTGTGCATGAGCTGCTGGGCGATGGAGTCGCGCGCTTCCATGGCCGTGAGCGACATCGGGGCGGCCTCGGGGTACATGTCGTCGTCGACGACCTCGTAGTTGAGATCGGGGTCGAATCCCTCGCCGTGCTGCTCGCACACATTGTGCAGCACGCAGCACGCGCCCAGCACGGCCGGCAGCTCCTGCAGCTTCACCTCCGTGCGCCTCTGCAGGAACTTCCACCGGCCCTTCAATCGGCTGAATGCGCCCTTGCCGATCTTCTGAATCTCCATGAGCCGCTCGTTCAGCGCGAGCTGCGCCCACGACAGCTCGCTGTGCGAGTAGGGCACGAGCAGCCAGTCCTGCAGAGGGTACCCGACGCCTCCCACGACCCAGCTGCCGTGCAGCGACCCGCTTCCGCCCTTCTGGTACAATGCCGAGTTCTCGAGCACTCGATCGTCCGACATCGATCCCGGCCACCCGATGCACACGTCCGTGAACGAGCCTCGGATGTCGACCACTCCCTGCAGAGTGATGGAGTAGGAGGTTTTCTGATTGCGGTCCGTGTGCCGCTTGTTGAAGTAGGCCCCGACGTTGATTTTCGGGGCGATTATGGGAATGTGCGTCGTGTACATGGATCCCACCACGTTCGGAATGCCCGACACGCTCTCGAAATCCTCCATCACCTCGTGCACTCGCTCCTCGCCCGGCCATTGCACGTACTTGGGCAGCAGGACGTCGTTTATGGCGGCGCAGACCTCCAGGATCAGCTTGTGGCACGTCGAGATGCCCAGGCCGAAGCGCTTCGACACCAGCCGCAGTGGCTCGCCCGTCGCCAGCCTCCATATGCACACGGCCACTCTCTGCTTCACCGGAATCGCTGCTCTCAGCATGGTGTCCTCCTTCGCCACGATCGACCCCAAGTCCTCGCATATGAGCTCGAATGTGGGCCGGCTCATCCGAAACGCGCGGTGGAACTCCAACTCCGGAAACCGAGGATCGTTGCATCGCTCCCACCTGCCCAACAAATCCCGCCCCCATGAGTTAGTGACTCCGACTCTCCATCCTCTCCTATCGGCCATGCGCCAGTGCACTTCCTTCGCAAGAACTCTGCCTAAATCTTCACCGAGCAATATTGGAAGCACTCCATCTTCTCTTCAGGTGCGTACATCCTAATTTCGTCTTCAATTTCCTCTGTTTTGCCGACATTGTCATATGGTTTCTTCAAGGACCAGAGTTCCAGGATCCCATGGCCATTATTACAGACAGATTCTGCCATTACCTCATGGCCGAAGCATATCAAGAAGCACGACTGGATGCGCCACAAGAAACACTGACAGGATCCATCGGGAGTCTGGCGACCGTTGCAACTGAATCACCGAGACGGACTGGACTCAGTGAAAGAGCCCTCGTCCTGTGCATGCATAGCCTTGCTAATTTCACACCCGGGAAATTAAGCGTTTCCTTTTGAGGCGGGAAACCTCTCATCGATTTGCCTGCCTTCTTTCAAACTGACACGCTATCGTAAGATTTCCAGGAGGGAGGGTAAGCGATCGAACTTCAGAATTCCAACATTGAATTTAGTTGTAACTGTTCGGTTCAGCATGTACTCTGAACTACCAACCGACTTCCCCACAAAGAAGCCGGACTTCATGTTCCCTCATTTCCCCTGATAGAATCCTGTCATTTGCCAGGATTCCATCAGGGACGAACGACAGCCTGAGAATGCGTAGCGGACGCGAATTTTTTTCAGTCGTCAACTTTGCACTCCGACCAGAAATGCTTCTGTCTCCAGCTGAGAAAGCGATGAACAATGTACAGTCACATTTTTCAGCTTGGACCTCATGGTCGCAAGAATTAGATAGAATTCGGCATATAAGCATACGAATGCTGCCATGCCCCGACGAGGGACTCTGAAAAGACTTCGAAGTCCGGGGCAAGTCAGCGGAATCGTGCAGTGCAGGGCAATGGGAAACGGATTCAGAATGTCGAGAGAATGGCTTCGAACGAGAGCAGTTAGAAATCGGAAGAAGAATCTCACCACGCTTGAGAGCGATTCTTGACCCAGAGCCTTCTCTGGACACTCTGCTGAGTGGCGACAGCAGCTCCGATGGAGCACGCAGCCACTCGGGCGCGCTTGAATCGACATCTTTCGATTTCATCCAGCTCTGCATAGTCGTCCTGCAATTGCCTGTAATGCTGCAGCAGTTGCTCCAACCGGTTCCTGTGCTCGTCTTCCAACCTCTGCCACTCCAGCTTCGTCTGCCTGTCGATCTCCTCCTGCTCCACCCTCGCCTGCTCTTCGTACACCAGCAGCAACAGCAACACCTGCCACACAATTTCCTCCTGCTGCTCCTGCTGCCTGTTGTCGTCCATAAGCAATCCATCTACTGCTTCTTCTTCCTCTTCTTCCTCCTCCTCATCCTCCTCCTCCTCCTCCTCGTCTTCTCCTCCTTCTCCCTCTCCATCTCCATCTTCGTGCTCTTCATACTCGTCTCTGTGTTCCAGCATCACCCCGTCCATCTCCATCTCTAACTCCATAATTTGTCATGGAACCATCACCTCGTCCTCCCTTAGGGCGGATTGTCTTCTTGCACCTGAAATCCACCACAGTAGAAATCCGTAGGACTGCCGGACGCAGTACTGTCGTAATGCACCGTATCCGATACGAAGACAACGACGACGACACAACATCGACAAGATATGCGACGAACGTCCCATAAGGCCCTCCCCGTCCTCCTGGGACGGTGATGATGACGGTGACACGAAGATGACGTCGAACGGACTCTTCGGACCGACGTTCCGTTGAGGGGAAGAACAGAACAGAACAGAACAGTTTTGCTGGCTGTCGGGCGGGGTAACGGACAAACCCACTCATAAGGAAGAAAGGAAGGAGCAGAGGGTTCGACCGGTGCGTGCCGGTGTAGCAGGTGCAGCCATGGGCTCCTGCCGGTGGGGAGCTTATTGCCGCACGGCCTGCTTTAACTCTGACCAAGAACGTCTCCACTGTCGGGCCCATGGCTTGAAGGTGGACGGACGGGCGGGCGGGAGAGCGAGCGGGCGGGCTTCAAGAACGGCTGTACACTGTCCGCCGGTCTATCAACGCAACCCATGTATCGGTGATACAGACCCAACGAGAGGAAAAGGAACCATTGGACGACGGATCAATAGTTCGTGACCTACATTAAGTAGTTCCAGCGTTCGCTACGGTATTTGAATATAATGGAGAACCAATGGATCACTTATGAATCATAAGTTATGATTTATTTATATATATATATATATGTATGGAGCCCTTCGTTGTTTTACATGGCTGACGTTTCTTTTTTTCTCCCAAAATGACAAATTGTTGCAAATTTCTTTCATGCTCAAATTAATTCTCACGCCTCGTGAAAAGCCCATCAAATTATATTTTACAATGACGGTGTTGGACGACGAAAATCTGATTAAGAAACTCGTCACTTTCTTCACCCCCGAATTTTTTGCTATACATTTTGTTATGTTGTTACGTCTAGTTACATCACCGGAGAATTGTTTTGTCTGTTGATGGTGTAGACTGCAAAGTGTGTTCACGAACACAGACTGAAATCAACCTTTGGAATATTTGGACACAATGACTAAGTCATAACATACTAAGTCAAATTAGGTTAAAAAAAAATTCACAACTAGATACCGAGATATGGATTGCAAAAAGAGGTATGGAAACTTGCGTGTAGGCTTTTCGAACCAAAAAAACCAATGCTTTGAAAGGAATCGTTCAGAAGGTGGATAATATAGTCTTGTCAATTCATCATAATGTCTTGAAACGCATGTTGTTGCGAATTTTACTCTGTAGAAGATTGAAACTTTCGACAATCCTCTCGCAATGAGCATGCAACTAAGTATTCAGACCGCTCCCAGTTTTTACCTTTTGTTTTGGAATGATTGTTCTTTGAAAACTGTACTTTGCTCCATATATACGTCACATGAGTATTCAGCAAATTTATAAATTAATGAAAGCAGTGGTTACTTCTAATGGGTTTAATCTATTCAAATTTTACTTCAGAAATAACGCCACATTCGGTTTACTTGACTTGGAAGCTTTATCGCTGAGATTAGAAGTACGGTGAAAGCTCTCGAGCGATGTACGTATTTGAGCATTTGTACAATGCATATGTTAGGTGCATATAATTCATCAGGGATTGAAGTGTTCTGATCAAGTTTTTTTCTGTTAATTTTTATTCTGACTTGCTAGACGAACGCTAGATTATGTTTAAATAACCACTGTGTATAGAGAGAAGTATAGTAAAGTAGGATATAGATATCCTACTTTATAATCTTGAGATTTTTCAGGTTCAAGTTTGGCAAGTGATGATTTACAGAAATTTTCGTCAACTGCTGTTCACAATCATCTCAGCGTGATTATTCTGTTGAACATATCAAAATAATATCTCTTTCTGTCCTATCATTAAAGGTCCACAGCACTACAAAATTGCTACACGTGGAGGTTGCAAGCTGAACGCCTTCTTTCGGCCACGATACGACGAGAAAGACACTCAGTTATGGATAAAATTTGGTCATAATGTATTGTTTGTTAACAACAAAAACTCGACATTAAATCGCTGTTGCAACAATTCCCAAACGACTTTCGTCCACAGGGTTAGCACCCCGGAGGAAGTAAAAACCTACCGCTAATCTTGTCCAAACTTCGATTTGGGCAGGCTAAATAGAAAGGCAGTGGCAAAGCAAACGCAAAGGCCATGGGGGCGGCGTGGGGGGTGACAAGATCCGTTAACGCGACACGCTGGTTCTGAAACTAGAACCACCCGCTCCTCTCTGAACTGCAGCAGCGCAGCGATGGGCCCGAGCAGATCAAACCGCTGATCTCCTTCGTCTCCACCATTCCGTGACGGAAGATCGACGGTTGGCAACGCGACAGCTGGAGCTGTCTCTCCCGTCCGTCAGTCCGTCCTTCCTTCCTTCCTTTCTTCTTTCCTTCCTTCCTTCCTTCCTTCCTCCAATAACGTTTCTATCGGCGTCCGGACCTAACTTTACAATGTATACCTATTACCCGAGAAGCGCATCATTCTGTACCCGGCGGTCAGATGTATTCACAATCATGTCTTCTTCTTCTACTACTACAACTACTACTGCTGGTCCGGCAGCCGATGAGTTCGGACTGGCCGCATGCTAGCGACCGTCAGTCGCTGCTCAAAACTGTGATTTGTCCAAATCGTCGAAGTACGGGTGATGCAGAGCGGCCTTGGCAGAAATTCGCTTCGCCGGCTCGTACTGCAGCATTTTCTGCAAGAGCGTCATACAAACAGCTGGAATTTCAGCAATCCGCATTTGTGATGGTGATTTTACGCGGCCGGAGAGAGAGAGAACTAGCTAGCTGCAGTGGAGACAGATTTTGAGTACTTACACGGAGGAGATCGAGTCCCTTGGGATCGAGGTCGGGGACAGCACGGGCCAGGTTCTGTGGTTGCCATTGCGGGTAGTCGTGCCAGTCTCTCAGCTTTTGGACTCCGGGCCAGATTTGGTCGTTCGGGGTTCCCAGCAACCTGAAGATGTGGAGCAGCTGCTGGAGCTCCGAGTCTCCGGGAAACAGAGGCTGCTTCCGGGACATTTCGGCTGCACACACATTAACCACTCGAGGGATGAGAACAGAGTATACAGTGCTCGCGAGTCTCTGTAAATTGAGCGCTCCTCTCATCAACGGGGTGGAAAATTTGCTCTGTGCCAGGATCACTTACCGAAGATGCAACCCACAGACCAGATATCCACAGGAGTAGAGTAATGGCTGGCACCAAGGAGAACCTCAGGGGCTCTGTACCAGAGTGTCACAATCTGTGAAAAGGAAAAACTCGATGTTAGGTCTGAAGACGAGGACAAGTGCTCATGAAACCACAATGTAATGAAGTCGATATCATGCGGCAGTGATTGAGATTACCTCGTGAGTGTAGCTCTTGAGAGGAACCGTGAAGGCACGGCCGAGACCCAGGTCAGCAATCTTCAGAAGCCCTTTCTCCTTATCGACCAAGAGGTTTTGAGGCTTCAGGTCTCTGTGCATGACCCCGTGGCTGTGGCAGTGTGCTACTCCCTTGCAGAGTTGGTACATGAAGCTCTGCACAGACACAGGCCAGTCTTCGTTGTCAGCGACGATGACTGCTACGAGATGCAACTGAAGGATGAAATTCCGACCTGAATTTCAGGAATTGTCTAGACACCGACGAGTGTAGTACCGACCTGAATCACTTTGGCCGGAACGGGTCTCGAGTTGGCTCCACGGCCGTGAGTGTCGATGAACTTCTTCAGATCAGTGTCGAGGTACTCGAACACGAGATACAGCAGAGGCTTCCCCTTCTTGTCGACGTGCTCCACACAGAGAAGCCTGCATTGACACCAACACGAATCTTCGGTCAGAATTGACTCAGGCACAAGACAATGCTTCACTACTCGCTGCAAGAGTCGCGGAGGCAGTAGTCCGAGAATTCACTCAGAACGACTCGCCGCTAGTCACAGGCCAGACTTGAAACGTTCAATTCCCCTAGCGCTAGCTAGATCATTCGTATAATCCCCTGTAACGGAAAACTGGGACCAATTTCAAAAAACTGCATCTGCTTTCGGGTTGTGGGTACGTCGCTGCACACGAGAATAATGCTGCTGTAGAAAACCATGCAGCTGCTATCTGATCGTCATGGTGCTGTACCCCTACTAGTTCCTGTTGTGTATTCTCTGATGAAGGAGTGTAACGGCGGAGATTCGGGACAATCTCTTCGCTTAAAAGACGCGAAGTTCCTCGACCGTCTACTCAGGGCAGCCGCAAGAATTATGCTATTGAGTGATGATTGGGCGAGGAAGGACAACCGATTGGTCTGCATGGATTCAGCTTCAGCTGCGTGCTTGCAGGGTCACCTTCACGAGTGCACGAGTTCTAATCCAGTACACACAATGTTGCTGCCCTAAAGCCCAGATCTAGTGTATTCTAGCTACTCGCAGCCAGAATGGAGGTTGAATTTGGGCGCGCACGACTTGTCCTCGAACACAACACCAGCTCGTTACCGGATCCGGATTGACATGTAGACTTTGTAGACTTTGCAGACACCAGGAGCAGCAATATCGAGCGAAGGGGCTTCAAAACGTCAACCTACAGCAAAAAAATGTTGGCGAAATCTGCGCACGAGGCAGGGGAGCGAGTCTGTGCGACATGAAAGACTTGAAATTCACATCGACGAGCTCGAGCTGGAGAATTTCGCTTACCGGACGACGTAGATGCTCTGCGACAGCATTTGGAGCAGAGACACTTCACGCAGAGCGGTGGAAGGGACGCCCTCCTCCTCCATCTCCAGGCGAGTCTTCTTCAGCGCGACCAGCCGCCCGGTCTTCTTGTGCTTGGCCTTGTAAACCTTGCCATACGTTCCCTCGCCGACTTTCTCCAGCTTCTCATAGTTATCCATCGACCCGTTGCACTCGAGGTCTGCAATCTCGGCGCTGGACACGACGCAGGTCTCGACGATCGAAGAGATGATCCCCTTCCGGTCAGAACACAGCTTCCATCCGGAAAGAATTTTGACCGACTTCCGCACCCGGCACTCAATTGCTTCCCCCTCCGCGCAACCCGAGCTCGGAAAATCCCAATTCTCGCACGGGGCCAGTAGCAGCCACGACGACAATCACCAAAATCAAAACACAAAAATGCATACACACACTGAGCTGAAATCGCCGAGCGACAGAGAGGACAGAAGGCAGGCCGGGGTAGGGGGCAGAGGAAAGAGGAGAATCTGCAGAAGCTGTGCTACGACAGATTGGGGAACGATACGAGGAAGCTGTAACTGGAGGACATGAGGAGGATGAGGAGGAGCAGCAGCAGGAGTAGAGCTGGGGAGCTGGAAATCGCAGAGTGAGAAGAGTGGAGAAGTGGCAGCAAGTAGTGCAGGGGAGCAATCGTTCGGATCGTCGAGGCACGAGGAGGAAGGGAAGCCATAGACGACCGACCGATGGCCGACGGAAGGAAGCAGGTCGGGCCGCAACGAGCGCAAGCAAGAACTAGCCGTTGGGGGGTGGGGGGGTGCGGGGCACGGGGCTAACGACAAACGGGAGTTTGAAAAGAGGAGGATCGACGGCCGAGGGCGGGCGATCGGGGCCGCGGCGGGCCTCTCAGACGCGGCCACGTGCCTCACGAACCCCTCTAACCGGGCCGTGACAAGGGACCGTTAACATGACTGGCGAAAGATGGCCGCTGTCGCCGTCGCCATCTTTCGCCACGGCCAACGGGAACCCGGTCGGAACTTTGGCGGGGTTTCGCCGGTAGCGGGAAGGATAGCGCCAGGTAGCCAGCCCCCCCGCCAGATTTGGCTGGCGGGAAGGGGCCGTTTTACACGGTCAAACCCCCCGCGGGGCAGATGTCATTTTTAGCCGGTTGGAGAATTCCCGCGCGGGCTGGATTCAAACCCCCCTGCCCAAGTTTGAATGCGGTCTTATCAACCACGCGGCGTGTACCGGAGGCGTCGCGCTTTCCAACCGCACGGTTTTGTTGATGATTGCGCAATCTCCAGCTTACTGTCTCCACTTTAATTAAAACCGCGCGGTTTCCCGTCCTCCGGTATTTGTTCTGGCCAAATACCGTTTGAACGGATATGTGCTCCTAGCCGACATCCCGGACACGTGATGGACCAACGAACACAATCGGTCTGAATGTCTAAGAGTTTGACATGCTCAAATTTTCGGCTACTTGGTAAGAACCCAACAGTTTTTAATAATCGCGACAAGAAACTTCATCTGTGAGTATTGTGGGCTCCAAGTGACTATCCATTTCTTCGAAAATGCTCGCCAACAACGAATAAAAAAAACTATTAAACGCTATGTATATGAGATAAGACTTCAAACCAGTGGACAAAAATTACTCCTAATAAATTTATTGGAAATCGTTTATTTATATAAACATGTATGTATAATACTCCACAGCAAAAATGGAATCTTTCGAGTTTTTACTTTTTTGTGTAATTGAATTATAGGAATGTGTCAGTAATTTTTTAGACCTTATGAAAGTTTTTTGATAATTTAAAGTACAAATTGAATATTTAGTAAAATAAGAAGAAAAATGATAGAACCATCAATTCCAACATGGTTGAAACTAGTGTGGCATGGCGCTAGGCTTTCAATGGTATGAAAAGAAAGTATGTAACAATTCCTGAATACACTTAATAAGTCAAGTTCAGATAGTTTAGAAAATGTTAATTGCAAGAAATATGACAAAACATATGTTCTATGTATAGCACTGTACATATATCATAGATGACATGTTATGTGATAAACCTAATAGAGTATAATCTCTTTGTAAATGATATGATGGGCTCTAAAGTATTAACTCACAATCATACTAAAGTTGATGTACAAAGCTTCGTATAACTGTATAAGTAGAGGAAAAAAATGTCATTTTAGATATGACATATAATCAACTTAATAAACATATTGAGAGTAGATCAGAATGGAGAATGAATATACAACATCACTACAAAGTTTAAATATGTCTATAGTAATTCATAAATATAAAAGTTGTTAATAAATATGTCAACAAGTTAAATATGTTAAAAAATTATAAAAAATTGTGCGTTGAGCAAGTATACTTATTTCTTATATTAGCAGACATGAACAAGTTTAAATACATTAAATCCACAGAAGTGCACACTAAAATATGATGCATTAGAGTATTACAAACTAACAAAGAAGGGATGCATCAACACTATGTAAAACTATGTAAAACTCTCAACTATGTAATTATCAATTATATGGAGCTAGTTATGATATATACCAAGATGTGTACATACGTATATATGTGTATGTTTCTATTCGTTTTTGGTACATTTCTTTTTATATTTCATATCAAAAGAAATGAATTGTCGTCTAATACTCAATGAGAAAAGGTAGAAACTTAGAATGCAAGTACTATGCTATGTTCATGTATTCCCGACGCTGAAGTGTGAAGAGTATATCGAATTGAGCACTTTGTCATATGGTGACTGCTTATTGAGCAAAATCATCATTGACACTTCCATGTTTTCGATATCAATATCCAGCAATTCACTCCCCTCCATTCTTTATAATTTCTTCTAGGTCATCGTTTCTTTGGCTGCAATCAGCTGATTGCTCTCCTCTCATCTTTTATATGATGAAACAGATTATAATCTTTAAAGATTATACGTGTGGATTTTTTTGCCAAAATCAATTTTACAATTTTGTATAAGTTTCCGTGGTGTAGTTGGTTATCACACAATGAAGGGCTCCAGTTCGAACCTGAACGGAAACATTTTCTGCTTCTTCTTCTAGAAATCAAATCCGATAACATAAAGTCTGTTAATAACGTTGGATGCACGGGTAGGATATCTGGAATGCTTGACTCCTTGACAGCCGGTGGGTCTTTCTTACAGCGACAGTTTGCTAACTTCAGCACAAGGGAAGAAATAAAGGTGCTGAAGCCAGCGCTCGCTCCGGCGTCCAAATAGGCCAAACTAATGTAATATGGCAAAATCACATTCACCATCTATGCGTGAATTAGTGAGCCACGCTCTTAGAGCCCTCCTTGTCCTATCGTGTGGTAGCAACAACATTTTCCCAAAACAAAGTAAATCGACGAGCCTAGGAGCATACATTTTATATTCATACTCGTCATAACTAATTTCCACCTGGATCTCTCCCTCCGTACAAATTGGCAGCTTGATTTTATTTTGGCACGCGGAACGACAGCGCGTAGTGGACTTTTTTGAGCTTTTCATTTATTTATAGAGACTCTGCGCTCTTGCAGTTCATACGTTCTACGCTTATGCATTAGTTACACAACAACCGAAGCGAGGAAGATCCAGAGGAGGAGGTCGAAGAGTTGGTGAGATGGAAGTGTGGGCCTCGGAAGGCTTTGAGATCATTGCTGAGCTCATCAAAGTTCCCAGATGTCGTCTTCGATCTCCCTACAATCCGTCAACATTGCCTCCTGCCTTCTCAATATCTCACTACTTCTCCATTGCTTCCACAAACAGCTCCTAACACTTAGCCTCGAAATCCTCAAAAGGTGTGAACGAAAATTGCTAGCACATGTCTGTAAATGTCTACAATTGCATCAGTAGCTTAGATTCACAATATCCGGATAATATACTCTGATGCCTTCCTACTGCCTGACTAGTAAGTTTTTGTTGTTTGCCTTGGAAAAATAATCAATCGCTTGCTTTCTTTTAACATACATTAGAGAAGACAACTTTTTGCCTTCGTTACTTTTTCTACCTTGTCTATTCGATGAAAATTCTTGTCTCGATCGTCGCTTATCCATCCTTCACTCCCATCTATTATGACTGTAGTTCTACAAGATGGTCTGAATGTGATCTCTCTACTAGTTGGTCTTCATCCATCAGAAGGACTTTATCCATATTTTGTCATATGGTGACTGCTTATTGAGCAAAATCATCATTGACACTTCCATGTTTTCGATAACAATTTCCAGCAATTCACTCCCCTCCCTTCATTCTTCTAGGTCATCGTTTCTTTGGCTGCAATTAGCTGAATGCTCTCTTCTCATCTTTTAGATGATGAATTAAAAATTCAGAATTCCACTCATATAATCCTTAAAGATTATAAACTGTGTTAGCTTCAAAATGTTTCATCACATTTATCAAAAGCATTTATTCCCTACGAAGTGACTTCTTTCATTCTACCGACCCCATGTTGTTTCAAAATGCTTGTTATATGCTTTTCCGTCTACAACACTCCCCTTTCTTTTGATTCCAAATAAATTATATTTTTACAATGGTCAATGTGACATTTCAATAAATCGAAGTCAAACCTTTACAATTATCTTAATTTCTCTTCTACATGTTTACATGAAAGACCAGAAATTGATAGATGCTTTTATTCGTATGCAATTATTTTTTTGGAATTTAAACGAATGAAATTCAATCTTGAATCATACTCTTTTTTGTTCAAATGTCAAATCATCTTGTAATAATTGAATATAATTATTTTATCAGATTCAATCATTATATATAGATATGTATTCATTTGGATTTCATAAAACTATTTTTCATATGTTTCCAACAATTTTCTTGATAAAATTACCTTTCATTCGATTTTTTTTTAAATTGAAACCACGTTAAAGTCTGTTTACATAACGTGTTTTGCAAAATAAAATGCAAATATTATTAATAATATAGTGCTTGGAAGATGCAAGTTGCAGTTTTTTTCATAATTGCCTATTATTGTTGGAGATTTTAATGTATTTATTGCGTTTTAGTTCTTTCAGCAGCTTTGATGCAAGATTGAAAGATTAGATTTCTAAAGATTAGATTTTTTAGAAAAAATTCATTATTTTTTCCAATATTTAGGAATTTTTTATGTTTATATAATCTAATTGAAAATACACCCATTATTATACATTATTCATAAAAAATATCAAGTTTTTTCAGATGTAATAGATATATTTTATTCCATAAAAAGAAGAAGTTTTTTATGACTTTATTTTTCTAAATATTGTATTTATAATATTTTTCTAATCATATAAAAAATACTTGTTGCTTTAATCATAATTGAAGTATTTCAAACATAAAAAATTGCTAGAATAAATTAATTTTTTTTTTTGCCAAAATCGATTTTAGGTGTTTGTATCTAATGCAACTAACATCATCATGATGTACACATTTTTCTGCATATGTAAGAAATATAAATAATTTAAAGACTGGCCAAAAATACACTAACGTATTAAAAAATTCTTATTTATTAACTTATAGTAATTTTAAAAATACTTGTAGATACTTTTCATGATCAGAAAATAATGATTTACCATGTAAAATTTCATTATACATTTTAATAAATTTTTTTTACTATAAAAGTGTTAAAATTCAAATACATATACAAAAAGACGATAAACACAACAATTATCTATGTAGTAGACAGAATAACCAGATCGCAAGGATAAAAGATATAAACGAATTTTGTTATATTAAGGATATTATATATAGATCTGTAAATATTTAGATTTTTTGATCATCTATAATGTTGACTAGAATACTCCACAAATCTCATCAAATATCAAATGTACTACCAATATATACATCTTAATTGATTGTGTAAGCTTTGGTGAAATATTTATCATTTAAAAAGTGATATTAGTTTACGAATGAAAGATTGAGATAAAAAATAGATTGAAAAACACCATATTGTAATTTTGCGATAGAGATACATTTCAAGTGAAATAATTCAATAAATAAAATTATTTAGTTATTACAAATGATAAATATTTAGTTTATGTTTCAATGAGATTTCATAGAATATATATTTTCGACATATATAATGATTTAATATTTTTCTGAAGAAGAAAATAATTCTGTCTTATAATTAAGAAAATTTTTAAGAATCTAAAATACAGATTACTCTTTTATGATTTCTGCCGACTAAATTTTAGAAGTAGATATACTCACAAACTTTATATAGAATAGGTTGCTGATTCTCTACAAATAATAATTTTGACACATATAAATTCTGAAATTATGGCTGAAAAATTATCATTCACCCCAAGATGAATTGAATGCTTGATTCTAGAAGATGCAAAATAAAATTTTTATTTTAAAATTAGATTTTGAAATTTTTTTATTAAAAAAATACATCTACAAGATTGTGTAACAGTTTGGAGAATAATAAATTGACTCGAGAAACGTCCTTGGCATGGTGAGACTAATGTAGCTACAGGACAAGGCTTTAGACGATATCGTACTAAACTTTTACCAGTATGATTTGTGACGATTCTCTGCACGAGACTGCTTCTAATGCTGGGCATAAGTAGATTGTCACAGTAGTGTAAATGGAAGAAAGAACGAAACAATACATTCAACAGGTGAGTGAGTGACTAATGTGCGCTGCATGTATCCCTTCGAGTAATGCTTGTACACAGGATTTTGATATGTTATTATTACTCCATGACTTCATAAACTCTTGCAAGAGATTTGCAAAGTCACACAGTATAGCTTGACGACATGGCATCACAATACAGTGTGATATAATAGCAAAATTGGTAAAGACTACTTCTCGAAGCCAACAGTCGTCGCAGAATTGCTGTGTGATCTGATCGGGTCACTCCGATTCACTGTCGGTGTATGCATGCAGATGGTATGCTTGAAAGTATCACATATCGTGGAGGACCTGCTGGCTTGCCCCCATCCTCAAGGTGCTTGTTGCATTGTCTCTCGTGCGTACCGCGATTTATCTCAAGCTCAAGCACCGCGCTTATGATGATGATAATGATGGATCCGTGAGGTGGCTTTCCGATGGACCTGCTGCCACGCGATTTCGAAACTACCATAATCTGTACGACTGGCTCCAAACGAAGGGCACAATCGCAGCACCAGTTCCTATCAATTCGGAGCCTTACTACAGCGTCGAGCTCTTACACGTCAAGCACGTTCCGAAGACGAGCATTTCCACCTATACCGAGGTGACGATGTCGGGACTAGCTCGTTGGGTGTATCCACTATTCTAACTCTGCTGCACTCGTCTCAAATCTCAGATCGTGCGTAAGAATAAGACAAGCAATCTATGAAACTATGTTTGCTCGTCTCGATCTGCTTCCGGGCCACACTCAGCTCGAGAATTCTTAGAAGCTTGTAATGAAAGTGATTGCAAACTGATCCTCGGGTGACTGCGAATCAAACATTGTTGGGATGATGACTTGAAAGAGATTTCGTGCATTATGTGCGAATGCTCTCTACAACTAAATTCTACTGCCTCACAATCTCGTAACACATGTGATGGTGTCATGGGGTCCAGGTTGAGGTGTCAAAGGGCGACATGCAGATCTTGCTCGGTGATGGAATTCTCGATGATATGGTTCAGTCAACGTACAGCTTCTGCTTCTGAGTTCTCTTTGAGGTCTCTGAGGGATTCCAGCACATGCAAGGAGAAGCGATGCATCCAGATCGGCGGAGAAGCCGAGCTCGCTGAGAACAAACAAATCATCGACAGCTTCATCTTCAATAGAGAGAAGACTAGAGCGCAAAGAAAGGGCTCGCCATTCTGAGCCCAGAAAGCAGGCACCATTACAATGGACATCCAACACTTCCCTTTCTCGTATGACTGGAGTCGATCGCGTAGGACCGTAAACGATGAGCGATTCATGTGCGCGACTCTTAATTGGTCGATCGTACCGCCGTGTACTGGCAGCCCCAGTTCGAGAGATCCGATCACGACCCTCTGTCCCGATCTCTGGACCTCATCGAGAACTCAGACAAGATGCTGCTGCGCGAGCGACATCGCCACAGACGCCCTGCCCTCCTGACGCTCTCGTCGTGGAATTCGCGAACCATCTCCGTCACCGACACTCTCCGGCTCTCGGTCATCGTCACCGGTTTCTCCGGTAATTTGCAAAAGTGGCCTCTCCTGCGCGGAACATTGTGAAATGTTAAGTGAAAAAATCGAACTCCACCTTCTGGAATCTTGTCCTCTATTCTGGCTATAGTAACGGGAACTGTCAGAGCATGTTATGATAAACACCTTCTTCAATAAATGTATAAATTCAAAAAACCTCGCGCTTCTACTCTTCATTCGGTAAGTTCAGAAGGAATGCTACCAACGGAAATTGAAGTGGCATGAAGTGTCTATGTTCTTCAAACCCATGCATGGATCAGTCCGTGATCCTAATAATCACTGAATTTTGCCTCAAAATGATGGCATGATCCATCCATGGGATTTGCATCTTGGAGCGAGATATCCAGGTATGATCCAGTGAACTGTAGGAGTAAGAAGGTGATAGATATATCAAAAGTATGCAAAACTTACTGATGAAATTGTTGAAGTGGCATGATTTCAACCAAGTTTGGTCAGTGTCATGGGGAGCTAATTAGTTCATACTCAGTTACAATAATCATGCTCACATTGAAATTTCTGCAAGCTTTGAAGATCACAACAGTCACTATTGTGATTTCAAAACAACGTGTACCCACTCCATAATCTGCATCATTGCATATACATTTAGCCAAGCATCTAGTAGATACGAGTGGCTGGAAGCACAATGAGGATGATCATGATCATAACTCTTCACCCTCAAAGTATCAAAAACTTTCACACTTCCCTCTATATCCGTAGAATATGTACTATGAGGGTTGATTGTAGCACTTGAGTATATCATACACTACATATACAGTTATGGTGATATAAATTACATACACAATATTCATCATATCTGATCATGATCAATGTACAAAGTTTTTCATTTCACGTGTCTCACTTCCAATTGTTAAAATTAAAAGTATTGAGTCTCCTTTCTTCATTCTAAACTGAAGATGATGGAGCTATGTTAGCAGTTGGATAAGTAAGACCTTCATTCTTTGTCACAATCTCAATCAGGAGTCATAAGGATTTAAAATCGCCCATCTTACAAAGATAATCCTCATGCTTTTTCACATTTCAAACGATTATATAACGCTCATCATACGAAGATAAACCTGGTGTGAAATTGCAGGTACGTTCAAGATTAAGCACCAAAGTTTCTGCTGTTCAAAGGAAGCTCTGACTGGACAGTCAATCTGAAACGACTGTCAACGGCTGTTTGAACGATTTTAGCGATTGTTGTCAACTGCATATCTCTGCTTCGGTTTTTATGCAGGGTTTTGATTATTACTGTGCACGTTATGCAAGGAATATAGATGGAATCATATTTGAACTCGGGTTATATCTGGAACATGAGCATTTTTCAAAATAATGCACCTCATTACCCTTTCCCCAAGTCATCTAAAGAATCAGATCCAAAGATCAGGTTGTGAGAATAAAGTTACTTGAAATGCTGGAATCCTCAAGGCCGTAGAAAGTTCCACGGATGTAGATCTCATGTAATCTGTGTATAAAGATAATATGTCTATATTCTAAGTAATGAGGTGAATATAAATATTTTTTATATATATATATATATATATATATATATAGTCATAAATTCTTGTTACCATTTGAATTTCAACAGAGGTCCAGGATACTACTATTTGGCCAAAACCAAGTCAGAGTTCATGTTATGGAACTCAACAGTCAAGCTGAAGTCAGTTTGATGGCCTCTTGAGATGTAACAATACTCGTTACAACAGTCTCAAACAGTTACAGCTCACTTTCTTACCACACATTTGTCGAGAACATTTGAAATCGAGAACATCAGAATGTGGTAGGCACACTTTCCTCTGGACCAGCCGAGGGGGAAGTTGCATGGCTCCAAATTTTGACTGATTGGCTCTAGTGCCTTCTTCTTAAATCGATCCACCCACCGAACTTGAGCTATGACGCTGTGAGCTGAAGCCAATCTCAGCTCTGCAGATCCAGAAGATATATGTGAAGAATGAATGTTTTAGCTTGTGGTACATCGAGTACAAGCTGAGAGTCATCGAGCAAAATCTGTACGATGGAAAATTATCTCATGCTGGAGATCGTTGGCTATGGAACGTTTGGTGTGGTATACAGAGCTCGTAGACTGGATACTCAGGAGCCGGTTGCCATCAAAAGGATAAGATTTAACCCGGCTTCAGGCACCAGAGGTCTCTCCAAGTGTGTGACACGGGAGGTCACGGCTTTGCGACAATTGCCTCGCCACCAGAACATCGTGAAAATGCTGGAGTTCGTGGAAGATCGAGAAAGACACGAAGTTTTCTTCGTGTTCGAGTACTTGGACATGGATCTTCGAAAGTACTTAGACTTGGCAGCATTCATCGCCACGAACAGGCAACACATAAAATATCTGATCCACCAGATCATCAGTGGTCTCGACCACTGTCACAAGCATAACCTCATACACCGAGACCTGAAACCACAGAACGTTTTGCTCGATCGACGCACCAACTCCTTAAAGATTGCAGACTTCGGTCTCTCCCGGAACATGGTGTCCGAGCCTACGGAGGCTTCACCTCTCACTCCTGACATCGCCACCATCTGGTACAGAGCACCGGAAGTTTTTTTGGGCTCACAGGTTTACACTTCTGCCGTGGACATGTGGGCAGCTGGATGCATCCTCGCAGAGATGACCAACAAGCATCCCCTCTTTGACGGAAGGACTGAGATCGACCAGCTGTCCAAGATCTTCCAGATAAGGGGCACTCCTAGTGAAGAAACATGGCCCGGAGTCTCTTCACTCCAAGAGTTTGTACCGTTGTTCCCCAACTGGCATCCCATGGACATGTCGGATGTGGTCCCGGATCTTGACGCCAGCGGCAAAAACCTGCTGGATCGACTGCTCATTCTGAACCCAAACAACCGCATTTCAGCTGAAGAAGCGTTGCAGCATGAGTACTTTCATGGTATCAGCTCGTGCCCTTTATAAAGATTCCGTCAGACTCCATCAGAACTTGCACTTCACCAGATCCATATCCAGCATACTCAGTTCCAATTCCCAAATCCAAGTGTACATGAGCTAATGGAGCAAGGATATGATGATGGTCCAAAGGTTCTACATCAACACAGAAACTAGCCAAACTACCACGAGGCCAACTCTCGGAGTGAAGAGATCTGGTGAAGGTGCAAGATGCTTGAAGAAGGGACGAGAGAGAGAGAGGGGAAGATAGCTCGATGATCATCAAAGTCAAGGTAACCAACGTAGTGGTAGGATCTTTGCTCGACTTGTCCTCTGTTTTATGTATTTTTGCTGCTACTTGACGACAGGAAATTCTCAGGAAATTGAGCGTCAGAGATTGGGTACATTCGATAGATGTATAGATCCATTAGACATAGACATATCTTTACATTATGATGGTGAGGCGTGTGTATTTTTCCGCCTCGGAACATCTGATTTTGCTTAGAAAATGTCAATAAAGAATGTCCCTGCAGATAAATGTTGCATGTTTTCGAGGCATGTCATGTTTTATTTCATGTTCTACACTTCTTAAATTGCTCAACGAAAGCATACTTTTAACAAGACTGCTTGCATTGTTACACGAGGGAGTTCTGATCGTAATATGAATAAGCTACTCATGACATAAATTTCATCCTTAGTTCAGAAATGTAAAGAAATATGACAATGAGATCCGTCTTCCAACAGCCGTTCTATTATCCCGTCAAGAACTTTAAAACAAGTTAAAATTTCGTAGTGTTATATATATATATATATATATATATATATAAAATTTATATGTTTAAATGAATTGTTAAATTCACCCGGGATTTGTTACGACATGTCTTGTTGCACTGACAACAAGACATATCAGAATTTAATTTTTATTCTCTTCGAGCATCTGTTCCGGAATTCTCTGTTTCATTTTCTTTCCCCATTGTACACAAGCTTCTGTCGGTGATCCTTCATGTGAAGGAAACACGGCATCTCCTGATGGCGTGGAGCATCAACACGTGTTGTGAAATCAACCAACAGGTCATTTCCCAAGAATTTTCTTTCTTACCTCCCACTAGAGAGATTTAAAACTTTAAAACCACCCGAATTAGAAGGTCTTTCCAAGATCTTGTGGAGCTTTTAGATTCTGGTTATTACATCCTTGCCAGCAAAGTCTTACCTGCTCCTGGTGCCAACAAAACAGGTACTGTACGCTACTGCTTTGACGAATATGACGACGGGGGATGAATTTAACAATCCCCTAATTATATAATTTAATATATATGTATCAAGAGAATCTTTTAGCATTGTATTTTCACCTAAATGAAAAGATAAAAATCTGATATTTACATGAGATCAGTTAAGTTTCTCGTCCTCTATTATGTATATCAGTATTGAGCATTGTATGCAAGTACCCCAAAATTTTCTATAAGGGAGATCCATATTGAAGTATATTGTATTTCTTGTATTGTATCCAGTAGGTATGTTTGTGTGTGAGCATCAAGCAATTATGATATTGAACATGAAGATGTAAAGTTGGAGAGGATGGATTAAACTAAAACTCACTTCTAATGGAAAGTTATCCGCGTGAATATAATGCCAACCTTCACATTCATATGTTGGTGAGGATACGTCTAGTTCAAGAAGAGGACAAAGGACGCTTTGTTACTTAATCACCAAATCCGATCTTGGTGTGGGTGACACATGGATGGTTCAATGTTCTGGTTTTATTCGTTTGTATCTCATCACCGAATTGTGATATGGTGACGTTTGATGAGGTGAATTTTGTTCGTTTGTTGTTTTCTCTTCGAGCCATGACTTCATCTGAAGAATGAGCATTCAAACAATGAATGACCAACGCTCTCTCTCCTGCTAAACGAATGTCATTGAGTACAGCAATTGCTTTCTGTCTCACAATGTGGATGAAATATCTATCGGTGCCATATGTAGATCTTTTTCTATTCTTCCAACGAGGACTCATTTGAAGGCTGAAACTACTCATAATGCTAACGGACGTGAAGAAGACTACGGTATGAAATTGTTCGTGCAGATCGAGTTAATTTTGTGTTTCTCGGGACTTCATGAGTTTGATGCCCATTTGATTGTTCTTGCAGATCGAGTTAATTTTGTGTTTCTCGGTACTTCATGAGTTTGAAGCCCATTTATTTTCTTGTTGGAATAAATATCAGATCCCATGCAACTTTACACAGGGTTGTTTCGGTTGTTCCTTTTTAACTTGGAATGCTATATGTATATGCTTGACACAATCAGTGAGGCTTATGGATTGATGTTCATCCAATTCACTATTTATTTATAATGCATTATTTTCAATAAAATTGAAGAATTTTCATATAACATAAACATTGAAATCAGAGATCATTCACATCAAAACTTACACTAAGAAAGGTTCAATCAAAGAAAATTGGAACAACAATGATTTGTTATCTTTGACCTACTTTATTTCATAAATAAACTATTCCTTGCTTTAATATATCTTGCATATATCATTTTGGTCCAAATGAGAATTCTTGAAGTTGTTGATAGCAAACCGATTATGTATCATATAATGTTTTCAAATTATGGTGATAATTCATTGTGTTCGTTATGTGATATGAAAATCTGTTGAATAATAAAAGTCCAGAAATTTTTTCAAGAAATGTAATTCAAGAAACCAAATTTCCCGACGGAATAGTCAACTCAATTCTTTATGTTATCTTAATGTCAACTGAAAGCAAAGATATCTTATTCTATGACGAACACTCATATTGAATGTTTGTCATAGAATAAGAAATATGTTTCATCAGCATAGAATCAGAAAATATACGGCAAGATTTATTTTTTCCAGTTCAGAGAATTTGTCAAGGAGACTTTGCTTGTATAGATTGTCAATTTGACAATCTATACAAGCATTCATCAAGAATTTAGTGAGACATGTACGAGAGTATAAAGCGCTTGTATAGACAAACGATCAGATTTCTCCTCTCAAAAGATAGCAAGAACATCAGTTTAAAGAGGAATACCATCTCCAGTCCTGATTTAGAATAAAACTTTGATGAAACAAGTCACAAGAGCTGTATTTTTTTTGAGGAAGAAATACTTGGAGATGACTGAAGTTTTTCCTCACATCACTTTTAGATCAGCTGTTCTAGATTTGAAAATTCTCCAATCTTTCATAAAATTAATTTTGGAAATCCCTTACATAGAAACTACAGACATGAACTTACTCTCACCATCTGATGCAAATTTCTCTTAGGATTCAGAGCATAAACAACTTTGTGTGCTTTTGCATGATCCAAATGTACTTTTGTCTTCAAGTATCAAAAAGGATTTAATCTCTTTTGGATTGGCTTGCTATTGTAAGTGATGCATGATGAAGCAAACTAATAATTTGACATTTTAAATCTTTTGGTGCTAACTCTAATATCAAAATGAGATTGATTTCAAATAATGAGCTACTTTCATTCATGCTATGGACATTTTCAAGGTATAAAAATCACAAGGTCAAATGGAAATTGCGGTCAAAACTCAAATATTACTTAGAACAAAGAGAGTTGTTCTTTGAGGGAAAAAATGTGAAAGATTTTGCCAAAATTTCTCTCAACACGTCAAATTGCCCGCAATCTTTTGTAAACAAAAAATCAAAGCATCTCTATAGCATGCGTCTATTCTGAACAATCAACAAGTCTTGGCATGCAAACACATTTTTTGACACTCATGTTAGTAATCTGTGATCCATAGTGTAACACTAGAGATAAAGAGAAAAACTTACTCAAAGATGTAACATAAAAAAAGATAAGAGATAAATAAAATGATTTTTTTTCTTGTATGGATCTTACCAACAAGTACAAAGAAAAAAAAATCTCACACCTACAATTGAATTTACTCCAAGCGTAATTATGATATGACAGATAACCCTAACAAGCACACGTATTACTGACGCGTCGCTTTCAACTAACTAACTGACACAATCAATCCTTATTTAACAAGCACATAGATTACGTGTCGCTCTAAACTAACGTAATCAATCTTGATGTAACAAACACACGTATTGTTAACGCGGAGCTTCAAATTAACACACTCAATCTTTGCCTAACAAACATACGGATTGCTGACATGTTGCTATAAACTAACACGATCAATCTTTATGTAACAAACAAACGGATTGTTGAAGAGTCGTTGTAAACTAGCACACATATTCTCTAACTACCAAGCATAGAGATTGTTGACATGACAATTCTGAATAGTGCATTATAGTGTTACTATAATTTTATCTCAAATAATTTTTTACTTTAGTTTTAACTAAGCAAAGATAATTACATTTGACTATAATAAGATTTTATCAAATACGTAATTTTTGTAACTGGGTGAATGCAGTTGTAAGTCTATCAGAGTATCTAGTTATATTTTCCAAGTTATTATTAAAATTTCAAATGTAAACTTAAAGATAAAATGAGTTTGATTTCATTTAATGGAGGGTTTAATGTTTGCATTTAAAAAGATGTTGTGGGAGATGCTTCATGGAACTTACTACTTTTGATATGCATTGTATAGGACTGATATTAATCTAAACTTCCATGTTCATGGTTTGGTTCATTCCTTTATCAACTTGCTGTAATTTTCATTAGCATAACAAAATCCGTTTTTGAGAGGAAAGTGAAATTTTTTTGGGTGTATTTGAGTTAGAAACAAAATCATTCAACTCATTGTTGTATAAAAGTTAGTTGATTTATTCTTTATGGAAAGTTGAGATATACAAGAAATTATAATAAGATGAACATGTTGTACAATAATATTGAAGTATGACAACATAATGCGTGGAATCATAACATTTGCCTTTATTACACAATCCAAATGATCCTATTTAGGAATAAATATTTTGATTTTTCAACAAAATGAGTGAAACAAACCTGAGTTAAATCATTCACAAGATCTCAATTTTTGGTTATTTTTTTTTGCAGTTTCATTATTATTGACCATTTCTACAGTTTTGCTCAATTTATACTTCAATACAAAACTATATTCATGATAACATTTAATGTATGGATTTCCTGAGTTAAATCGTTCACAAAATCTCAATTTTTGGTTATTGTTTTTTGCAGTTTCATTATTATTGACCATTTCTACAGTTTTGCTCAATTTATCCTTCAATACAAAGCTATATTCATGAGAGCATTTTATATATGGATTTCCTGAGTTAAATCATTGACAAGATCTCAATTTTTTGTTATTTTTTTTGCAGTTTCATTATCATTGACCATTTCTACAGTTTTGCTCAATTTATCCTTCAATACAAAGCTATATTCATGAGAGCATTTCATGTATGGATTTCCTGAGTTAAATCATTGACAAGATCTCAATTTTTTGTTTTTTTTTTGCAGTTTCATTATCATTGACCATTTCTACAGTTTTGCTCAATTTATCCTTCAATACAAAGCTATACTCATGAGAACATTTTATGTATGGATTTCCACATCTAATTATGAGACTTCTATACATTACCATGTTACTAGAACTTCATCTTCTTCAAAAAAAACATTTACGTTTATATTTAGAATCTTTCTTTTGTTCCTCAATTCATAAGCTATCTTTTTCTTTTCAATGTTCAATTTTTTGAAAGTTAACATATTAGTTATTGTGAAATATCGTGGAAATTTGCTCTGTTTTCCATTAGGAAGAGCTATTAATCCTAACTGAGTTGATGAGATTTCGTAAGGAGCCATTTCGAATCGTCACTTTCTCCTTTGCAAGAGGAAGGAAAATTTTAAGTTCACACATATCACACCAATTTCTACACAATTCCCAACAAAGAACAAATTCCCGTATCTTGCATGGTTGAATAATTTCTTTCGATTTATCCCAGGTATGAGAAATTGCTGTAATTTTTTTTTTTTTGTGGATCTAACTATACACCCGTCTGTACATGAGACAGCATGACCACCAGGAGTGGCAACTATCCATCGAGGAGGTACCAGTTATTCTAAAAATATCTCAGCTAAGGACAGTGCCCGGAGATAGGACTCAGTACTGTCCAGTGAAACGAGAGTCGTTGACTCTGTAGGAATTTATCTTGTATATCTCAGCTGGAAATGAAATTTTATTCTTGAGACTGTATTACATGTCCTAATAAGAATTCAGTATTCTTTCGGACACATGAAGCAAAAAGTATGAAGACTTTGGAAACTACATGCGATTCTGCGCCATACTCTATGACGAGAGAACATGGAACTTGTGCTGGAGTGAGAGAGGCAGTAACTCCATTTCTGCATATTGGAAGCACAAGCCTTCTGTGTTTACAACATGAAGAGACGAAGACCATAATAACAAGATTCGGTTACAGATTGCAATGGTAGTCTGAGTACGAGGAAGAGCTCTTGTCGCAGTAAATGTGGCCCACAGCCCTGATCTCAAATTGATGATGGTTCATTATTAGTTCATCCCAGGTTGGCTGGAGAATATATGCTTGCTAACTAAATGAAATCTCCAAGTAGTTTAGATTGGAACCAAAGAAACGGAGCAACAGAAACATCAGGTTAGAGAGGTAAATCATTTATGCGAAGCTAACAGTGTCTAACATAATTTGTCTCAGCTGTCGATTGACTTTTAGCCACAAATCGAAAAGTTGTCTATGTGAGGTTGTTCTATCTTTTGTGGCTGTCATTCTGCCTGTGCACGACGTTTCCCTTCAAGGGGATTGCACGCGCAATCAGCTCTAGCGCAACATGCGGTAGAGTAGTCGATACAGGAGAATGGCAGCTCAGCCGATTAGACAGAAGTGTCCAAGTTGACATTGAAGTCAACTCTGCTTCGAACTTGGAATCCAGTAGATCTACCAGTGTTGCAGTGTCTGTAGTCGCTATACTTAGTCCAACTGTGCTGCCAGGTTTGTTTGGATATGTTGGCGCGCTCTTTGCAATGGTTTCTAACCGTTCGCAGCTGCAGGAAGATAATCTGATTTTTCGATTAGTCATAATCAAATTTCCTGTAGACAGGTTGATCTTTCACTGGTATGTGTCTACAATGATGGCACATCAACGCTCGTAGGGATAGTGGATTTCCATGGTAGTAAACTTCGGTTCAGTCACCAGTTTTTACGAGTTTTCGTCATCATTATAATGGTAACATGTACAATAATACAAATAATCTTTGCAGCAACTTCACAATCTAGCAATGCACCAGATTATTCTGAACAGCAATCTGATTTTGTCTGTTGCATGGATAATTCTAGATGATTGAGGAAAAGACATCGTGGGAGTGGTTCGTGTATAGGAAACAGTTCTCTTGATGACGAGAGGCAACGTGCGAATATTGAGATGGAGACGAATAGAGAGTGGTGATACACATCAGATTCTGTTTTGGATGACTATATATGCATCTCACTCAGTTCGAGCTGCCTTCCTGCAGCACGAATTGATCATATATAAAAGTCACTGATCATATCTCCCAAATCTCTCCCAAGGTACAGCTTACAATTCAAATGGTTGCAGAGCTTTCCCGTTCTTCTGGCTTCCACGTAGTGCATACATAAAATCCATGCTCCTCCGTCTCAGGTTTTACATTGGTGAGTCAATCCTCACTATCTAGATATAATCAGCATAGATGTGCCAACGCTGTGTCATGAACATTATTTTCCTCTCTCTGGTTGTAATCTGATGAATGAGAACGGATCTGCTTAGTGCTTGTACCTTATAAGTCTTTTAGTCCGCTAGAAGCTAATTTACAGATGATAGACTTTTATGATGAGAAAGGAGATTATTATCTGGAAATCATCACTTCACTATAACTCCACATAAAATTGACTCTTGAAGAAAGTATCGACGATTGTGTTCGATCAGTATCAAGAAACATTTTCATCTGACAGCAGTCACATGTGGAGGCTCGATCCTAATTATTCAGTGTCGTGATACTTTGTGGGAGCTCACACTAGAAACAGATGTACCTCGAATTCTTTCCCGTTGGATGACTAGCAGTACATACTTCACAATGTCGATCGTAACCAGCTACTAACACAAATGTAAGAGTCCCTTTGAAAGTGTACAGCTACTAGGAAAAAGTGCAGGCCCTATCCGACTGTTACAGCCTGTGGAGAGCATATGGAGAGATTGTCGATATCTGCAGATCAGATATCTGAAGAAATAGTTGAAGTCCCACATGAATAGCAGAAGTCGGGGGTCAGTCAGAGACAAAATTCACTCGTCCTTCCTCAGGCTAAGGATGATGGTTGACGAGTATGAATCTGTAGATAATTTATTTTCCATCATTGATCACTCGTTGCTCATGCTTAGCTTCATTCGAACCGAAGCCTTATGAACTGTGGCGAGGTTTCATATTTCTTCTCTGTTTTGGTATCCAGGCACATGAAAGTGCAAACTCTTCGAAGTCGTCGCCTCCATTGACCTACGAGCGTTGAAGTTTCCAGCCACCGAACTATCAGAAGCGATCAGGCTGAGAAGAAGACGAGCCTGCAGGTCCTGCAGCTCATACTCGCGCGTCAGAGAAAATGGGATTCGACGGAGCGCCCTCGTGTCACGGAACTCCAGGCAAGAGGCTCACAATCCTCAGCATCGATGGAGGCGGCGTGCGAGGCGTAATTCCAGCAGTGTGCCTCGAGTTTCTGGAAAACCAACTTCAGGTCCTGCATAAAATCCTTGATCAGTTTTGCACTCAGCTGCTCCAGGTCTCCATGCATGCTCGAGCTGGCACATAGTGTTGGATCGATGGAGAATTCCGTTGTGTTTTTATCAGTGGTGTGAGGAAAGAGCTTGAGCAGGATGGGGCTATGGACATGGAGAGTGAACTGAGGGTGCGAGAGAGATTGCGCTGTGCAGGCTCTCGATGGACCCGAAGCAAGAATCGCAGATTACTTCGACTGCATTGCGGGGACGAGCACGGGAGGGCTCATAGCGGCCATGCTGACAGCTCCAAACGCCAACAAGCGTCCTCTGCTGACGGCCAAGGAGGTCAAGGAGTTCTATATCAACAAAGCGTCGACCATTTTCCCACCACCGTAAAAGAGAAAAATCATCAACGCAGTCTGAATGAATGAATGCCATCTTTTGTTTGAGATCACGCAAAGCTTCTGCTGAATTCCATGTACTGAAGGACGTGGTCGCACGATCGCATTGAATTTCTCGCCTGAGCCCCGAGGGTTCTCCATGATTCTTCGAGGCAACACGATGGCTGATGAGTTTCTTGTGCCTGCAGCTCCGGGATTTATGGGTTCTATGACAAACTGCGGCCTCAATTTGTGGCAGCTCTTCTCCCTGGGCCCAAGTACAATCCCAAGCCCTTGGCAGATCTTCTCTCGGAAACATTCAAGGACTTGAAGGTCTCGGACGCTCTGACCGACGTCCTGCTCACGACCTTCGATGTCCAGGCTCAGGAACCTGTTTTCTTCGACAAGCAAGTGGTCAGTGGGTCTGTCGATCATCTACAGCTCACGAGAATCAGTCACAGCTTCTCTTCCAGCTTGCATTCCATTTGTAGAATCAATCCTCACTGTGACATTGGCTCCCTCCCTCCCTCCCTCCCTCCCTCCCGTCTGTCTAACTGACTGTCTGTCTGTCTGTCGAGGAAGAGTAGACTTGAGAAGCATGGGCTTGATTTATGATCACTGCTGATGAATGAAATTGCATCAGGCATTGAGATTGCCCGAATTCGACATCCAGTTGAAAGACGCGTGCTTGGGAACGACGGCCGCACCGACATACTTCCCTGCATATCAGATTCCGAAACCTGGGCAGTCCAAGACTGAAGCGTACTACAACCTCGTCGACGGAGGCGTGGCTGCAAACAATCCCGTGAGTTCGGATATCCCGTCGACCTCCAGTGCGGCAGTGGAGTGAAGTTGCCCGAGGATCATGGATCGAGCCATTGAACGAGCGAATGCTGTCTTTCGTTGTTGTACCTTCATGACACTGAAGCTTTGAAAACTCCTCTAAATCTTGCACCGGGTTCCACAGACGGACGTCGCCATCCTGCACGCAGTGAAGGACCTCGCATTTGGCTTCGCTGGTGATGGTCGCGGGGGAGGTCCCGAAATCAAGGTGAGTCTATCATCCATGAGCCCATCTCTCGTCCGATCGATGCAGATTTCTTGCAGAGAACTTCCTAATCGCGATGACAGACATACAGCGCTGCTGTTCGAGTTCGGCCCGAGGTGCGTAGAGACTTGTAATTCGCCAACAGTGTCGCGCACATTGAGCCGGCCGACTGTGAAATCGAGCCAGCAGGAGAATGATTTGGATCGTGCTCGTGCTGATGGAACCTTGTCGTGCAGGGATATGAAGACATTCTGGTCTTGTCTATGGGCACGGGATCGAGAATCGACCGCTACAACGTGAAGGACATGGTCTCGTGGTCGAAGCTGGCTTGGGTCAACAACACAGGACAGCCCATCGTCCAAATGCTGATGAACAGCAGCGCTTACCTCGTCGACTACGGAGTGTCCATCCGATTCCAGATTGCCAAAGTCAAAGAGAACTACTTGAGACTCGAGGTCAGTCATCTGCTCGACCTTCCATCTCCACCATGTTCAGCTCAGCTCAGCTCAGAACGAGAAACTCTGCAGACCTGATGGAACCACTGCCAGTGTAGCTAGCTCGGCTGGAGGCTTTGATGTCTCGAGATGTTCTCAATTGAAATCGATTTCCGATCATGAGTACGAGCTGCTGTAATTCAGGACGAGGAAATTTGAAGCCACCCTGCTGAACAATGTTCTGCATCCATCCGTGATCTGCTCTGCGCAGACTGGCCATATCGACGGGCCGGCGGCGGAAATGGATAATTCATCGAAAGACAACATGAAGAACCTCTGCCAGAAGGCCTCGGACTTGCTCAAGAAGCCGCCCAAGTACCGGAACGCCATGAGCGGGGCTCTGGAGCAAGTTCCTGGCTATGCAACGAATGAAGATGCTCTGACCAAGTGAGTGCAACCGCCCTGCTCTCCAGCCAGTCTCACAGGCTTGCCTGGTTCGCTCATGGGCACGACCTCAGACCCACTCGGAGAATGACAGTACTGGACAATCTATGAAGATTCCATAGGAGCCGCGTGCTTGCACAGTTTCTCGTGATTCTCGATTGAAAAGCTGAACATTGTATAGAGTAACAATTCTGCCTGCGGTTTCTCAATCCGATGAAGCTCTGGGACTCGACTGCCTCGAGCAGATGGTTCCAGTTTGGCCAAGTTTCTGACATGATGGCTGCTTCTGTTCATGGCAGCTTCGCGAGATGGTTGTCCGAGGAGAAGAGAGCCCGCAAGGAGAACATGGACAAGTGTCTGGCTGCGTCGACGACGGAGCAGGCACCGAGGGCAGCCTTCTAATTGCATTACGCCCCCGAAGGTCATCGCGGTGGTAAATTGGGCAGGGGACGACGAGATCAGAAGCGTTTGTTGAGAGAGTTAGTGCAATCTGGAGGGAGCTTCGAGAGCTTGAACTGAGCCCGGCAGCGTGTGAAGACGACCAGCATTTTCAAAGGCTTGCAGTATGGCGAGTACGAGGCTTCTGCTGTACTATCAAATTACAGCTTCAAGGCATCACCACCTGCTGCTACACAACGACAAGTCTGCTGCACAAATTGGAAGATCTGCTCGAGAACTTCACTGTGAGGTGCAACGTCGTGCACTGTGGTCCAACTGGTTCCGTATTCAGCGTGCATGTTCCTCACTCACCACGAAATATCGTCACAAGCAGTGAACTGTTCTGAATGAAAAGCTTTGCACAACCGATGAGCACTTGCTCTAGAATTCTTTTTCTGATCGATTCTCTCTTTTGAGTGGTTGCTCGAAAGGATCATCGAGACAGAAAACCTCCTACCAGCAGAGGATATTGCGGCAGGTCAGACAGAGATCACAAATGACACAAAAGTGTTATCTTAATTTCGTAAGGATCTGTGATTTTCATCTGATGTCCAATTTGCAAGTACTGTGATGTCCACGCAGACTCTAGATTAGTTTTCATATGCTAACCCAATGATTCAGATAAATAGAAGTTTTTAGTCCATCCATGCATTTGATGCGGACTTTGAAACTATCCTTCTTGCCTATGGATATGTGAAAGTTGACGTACACACGATAGATTTATGAGTCTTTATCTTCATGGATAATGTGATGTCCTTTTACTTGTAAATATCTTAAAATACATTCTTCTCAAATTTCTCAAATTTTTATCTAATTTATAAACAGTTCCAGATTATATCAACTGTATAATCACCTCGCCAGAGTATTGCAATTACGTAAATAGAAAATACCAGGAATGTATTTTCTGTCATTTATATACAAAGTTGAATGGAAAAATTTTAACTTTTTATTTTATATATAAAAGTTGATCATCAAATTTCAAAAAGAAATTTACTTTTTTTTTTCTTTCCTTCATATATTTTAAAGGATGGAATATTTCTCTTGTTCCTTTGCCTTCAATACAACTTTGATTAAAGTTTTGAATTAGAATCGACCGGCTTTGCCAAGTTTTATATATATGCATCTTTGCGGCTTTAGGATCACAAATTTTCTATTTTTCCATTTTTTTCTTTGTGGCTACTTCTCAGAGGCGTTTTTTGTTCGTTCTTATCTATTTAAGCGTAACCGATGCATCCTTTCCGTTCGACATTTTGAAGACACTTTGACTTACAGAAATTTTATCACCATGGGGCTAACTCTGATCTACTGCTTATCTTGATTATCGAGACAAAACCGTTTGAGCTACCTCAGAACCTTCAATAATCTACAATGAATTCCTAAAAATTTCCAGGAAAGTTCATCTTTTACGCGTCTTTACCAGTTCGTGATGCTAGTCCCATTCGAGAGTTCGGGTTTCAACGTATTGCGAATGGTCGCACGAGCAATCGAGTTTTCTGGAGCGGTTTGGGATTTGCTCGGGAAACGGAATCATCGGGGGACGACACGACGACAGCAGACCCGCAGAAGTTCGCAACATGAGACGAGATTCACACAAATCCGCATAATTCCGTATTCCGCATAATTTCACATACGACCGGAATGTCTTCTCCGTGAAAAACGTCCGGCGTTGCTAAGGTGCCGCACTGACGCTGGTCCAAACGGAAACCTTGCCGCAAAGCCTACATGCGTCCTGTCCTTACACTCTAACGCAGCCGTCAAGTGGTTTTCGGCTTGTCGGAAGCGGTGCCGGATTTCGGAGCAAACGGGTCCGAGAAAGGAAGGAGCCGGGCAACTACGAGGAGCGGGATCAGAAGGTACGGTACGTATACGCCCAGCAGATTATTGCGCTTGGGGCTATCGCTCGCAAGAATGTCTGCGAGAATTGGAATCTGCGACCAAGTTCCATTCCCGAGTGTCAGTCAGAGCTTCTGCCATCCGTCGGAACGCAAATCCACACTTTCTACTTTCTGCCAGCGACCGAATTGCACGCAAATTTACACAGTGGGATGGGATCGGGTTGACTCATTTCACTGACAGAAACGCCTTTCCCGTAAACACGTGAAGCGCAAATCTGAGGTTACCAATTCACAGGTTTCCAGATCGTGAAGACTGTACTTGACAAGCATAGCGGGCTTCGACTGAAGTCAGCTTCAGTCTATGAGTACAGAAGGTATCGGTCCAGGGTAGCCAGATGGAATCAAAGGCAATTTTGAATTGAGTTGAGGAACTCAATGTGGTTGTTCGAGGAATGTACTGGAGATTGTTTGTAGACGGAGGCTTCATCCTCAATGATTAACGATTAACAAAGGTGAACGAATGGATTCATACTCCAAGTGAAACTTGATAATCTCCTGGGGGCCTTCATCGGCTTTGATCCCACGGAGGCAGGCAGGCAGGCACTGTAACGAACTGGAAAGTTTAGCGGTCCCCAGAGAACACGAGGGCACATGGGACTTCAGGCATGATGCAGAGTGTTTCGCTATGCGAGACCCTCAAGGTTCTGATCTACATTCTATTTCAGGAGAACTAGCTATTTGTGCCGAGACGATGAGCACAAAAAAAGTGTGACTGTTTTGAGTAGACTGGGATGGAATTCAATCCCTAACGGAGGACAGTGAACTCAGAAGACCAAATCAATATTCAACCACTGTAAGAAAGATAACATATTACGCTGATGAATCTTTGTTGATGACGCAAGTTAAAACATACCATGGTTGTGGCGACGTGCACCCCGTAGATGATGCCTGTCATTCGTCCCCACCTTTTTCCTGCTCACGAAACCAGACATTTGTTCCTGGCGTTAAGGAAATGGGACTAAACCCTAGAAGGTGGAATGCTGTACTCAGCAGCAGCGAGAAGATCACCACAATTGACCAACTGACACTCAGAAAACCAGTACGCGAGACAATGTAGATGCGCATGAGTCTACATTTTACCTCGCTCGTGCATTTGGTATCAGATATGAAAAACTGGCAGACAAACAGAATGTTAGACGAAAGAATCCAACTGAAACGAACCTCGGAGAAAGGCGTAAGCATTGGCAACGTGGAGGGGCAACTGAATGGCATACTCGGCGTAAACGAAGGACTTGAAATAAAGAGGAGGGTTGGCCATCAAGAAGTCCCCAGAGTTCTCGATATGCCAATTCAGCAGCTCTTGAGCGAAGGTGGGGAAAAAGTGCCTGGGAACCAAAACCTGCAAATCTATGAGCAGCATGATCGGCAAATGAATCAGGAAAAACGTCCCTATCAACAAGTCGATAGGCCGCTTGCTCAATTCCAACGCTGGTGCTGCCGTTCCCCCCATCTCTCCCTCCCTCTCTGTCGAATCTCGAATCTCGGAACACGAAGAGAACTGGATCACCGCCCTCTCAGATCTTGAACTCTACGGCAGAAAGAATTCCAGACTTCCAAACATCTTGCTCTTTCCCTGCTCTACCGCATCCTCCGATTCTGCCACAAATCTTCTTTCGCCAATAAATGACCTCGAGCCTCAAAACTTCAGACTCTCTCGCAGGACAGCAATCGATTCTGCCGGCAGTGGCGTGGAGTCGGACAAGCAACATGTTACAGTTGCACGGTACCCCCGCACTGCATTGCGCTCAATGGCGGAAGTGGTCGACGCCTTGTGTTTGGACCAGGGGCGTCCAGAGTTCGTGGAATCCCCTCGAGACAACCTGGATCTGACACGTCAGCAAGAACATCCACCTGGCCTCTTACTGTACATGGGAAGCATAATAGAATCGGTCAAAACCGGTGACTGCCTATCCGGTATAGGCAGTCACCGGTTTTGACCGAGGCGATTAGGGGTATACGGTATACACCATCTCCCACTTACCGGGTTTGGCCTTTGTTACTAATGGGTCTTCTAGATTGTGGACTATGGAGTGTCTGATAATTCCAAGGAATTTGCCATATAATTAAGTGGATTATTTTCCGGGTGCAACAATCATAATTCATTCTACTAAGAAAGTCAAATCCGCTATGAGGACATGATGCCGTTCCACGTTCCTAACTACAAGTTCTTACGAGAATGAGCACACTTTTGAGCTGAATCGTTGGGTTTTGACGTGTTGGGGCTAGGGATCATGGCGGTGTTCAACCAGAGCTACCGAGAAGTTATGGTGCTATCCTTCTGCCAGGGAAATGCACAACAAGTGATCCAACCAAGGTCTCGAATAAGTCTCCCGCGCATAGTTTTGGATAGAGCGCTCTTTGACAGAGAAACATTGAATCCATTTCATTGCAAGGATCAAGAATTTTTCCCGAGCGGAATCTTTTGCAATCATCAAGGTCTCATGGTGTGTGACACGGTATCTTTGAATCTGGATCCGAATTTTCAAGCTACAGTTGTCTAAGAGATTCTAACACTCGCAATGCACGTAATCATTGCATGCTTCGTTGATGACGATCTTCAAGATGCGAATCTCAGTTCTTGATGGGACTCGTTGAGCGGAATCGCTGCTCCTTGTAAGATACTTCTCCATACTTCTACTATATTGGCAATTCATGATGAAGTAACCTAGACTTGATTTCTCGCTTCTGTGTCAAAATCAACATGCAACAAGGTTGACTATCCAAGGGAGTTGGCTACAGCAAAACAAGTGATAATGCAACCATACCAATTCACTATGTAGCTCTGGAATTTAATTGTTGCATATGCGAACACCATCAACATTTGTTCTCCTAATTTGTAACATTAGAGTTTAAAGAGAAGCTCACTCAAAGATAAAAACATAAACTCTCAAGATGAGTAATACCAATAATGAATCTACTTTCCCTTATATAGTTTTCACAAACAAGTATAAGGAGATAATATCTCTTCTCCATCGTACACTCCACTCATAATGGATTGATGACATGGCGGATATACCTAATGAGTACACGGATTGCTGACATGTTGCTCCCAACTAACATATCAACTAGCACATTCAATCTTTTTTTGACAAGCACACGAATTGATGACGTGTCGTTTCCAACTAAAACACTAACTAGCACACACGGATTGCTGACGAGGCACTGTATATATTCCCCTATCATCTAATCTACGCAATCTTGAGTAATCTCTACTTTAGTTGTAACTAACTAAAGATGATTACAAGTTCTTGAGTGGTTAAAAAGAGTGACATTTGTAACCATGTTTAGTTACACTAATGAAGATTCGTCTCGAGACTCTTTTACCGGAGATTGCTTACGAACTGCAAGCGGCTTTCTTGCCATCACATCACATTGTCAATGCCATCATAGTTCAACACGAGACGATTGCTTGAGTTCACGAATCAGATCAAGAGCTTATAATGCTGAAAATTGGACTTTTGGAAGGTCTTTGACACTGTGAGCTGGAATTTCATGTTTAATGTCATGACAAGAATGAACATCACAACAACTTTTGTAAAGATGGTTCAGACCCTGATGTTGAACGCCTTAACCGCCGTCTTCAACAACGGACTCATCACGAAGGAGTTTCTCATCAGGCAAGGAATCTGGCAAGGATGCCTCCTCGCCTTTAATCTGTGTCTAATTGTAGCAGAAGCTTTAGCCAACGTCACTAATTAAGAGCTATCCACGAGCAGATTGATTGAGATTTTGCTTTTAGATGGCGTCACTCAGCAAGTGCATTCGCAGTTTGTCGACGACACTACTTACTCCATTTCCGAAACAAATTGTAACTTACTCTTAGTCTTCAACTTATTGCATGACTTTGACCTAGCCACATGACTCATGATTAAAAGGGACAAGTGCGCTTTATATTGGCATGGCCAAGGCATTCCACTGCTTTGTCTAAGGAGCTTTGGATGTGAGATTGCCCCATCCAACTCACTTACAAAATTGCTCGGGACTCCATTTGATATGTCGCTGGCTACGAATGACGTACCACTTTTTTTGCAACCAATATTGACGTCAAGCTGAGATATTGGACGAAGGTTCACTTGTTTCTAGCTCGTCACCAATTACGTTGACGCTTTTCTTGCAACCAAAATCGACCGCAAGCTAAGATATTGGATGAAGATTCACTTGTTCCTAGCAGTTTAAATTGTAATTGTGAACTCCTTGCTTTTATCGTTGCTGTGATATTTCATTCAGACTATGAGGAAGCTTAAAGGTGATCTTTAACACTATTCGTGCATCACTTAAACATTTATTGTGGTCAGGAAACGAAGAACATTCTAGAGCTTACGTAAGATGGACAGATTGCTGTGCAGACAAGTTTGTAGGAGAACTAGGACTAATTGGACCCAATAAGCTTTGAAAAACAAATGGATAGTTCGTGCACTGATTCAAGGTGATGCCCCAATGACCATTCTCTCGCGTCACCAACTTACAAGACTTCACCCACCGAACTCTAGCAATTGGTTTGAAAGTCTTCAATGAACATTCTTGACCCGGTTTTCTTCTCCTCAAGGATGTTCTATTTGAAAACGGATGTCACAAGCATGCGATCCAATTTTTGAGATCCAATATTGGATTTACGGAACGTTGGGCGCGCATCTTGGCCTTTAGAGCCTCCAAAAGTTGTGCAAGGATCAGAGCCTCATTCCTTGTCCATGGACCAAAGTTTAGACCCGATATAGACTGATGGTCACTGAACAGGTGCTGATTAAAAGCTATCTCAACAATGTTCCACCAACATGAAGCGGCATCTTCCATCAAACAACATCCCAAACTATTAACATGAAGTGGCTTGACATCTTTCACGACCAACCTTTGGAGTACCCGATTTTCATCATTCAAGCCACTAAAAAATTTTCAGCCTCCCAATCTTGCAGGTGTGTCCGCCACTGTCATTCTAGCCAAGTACCCCATATACTGCATGGGCGCGAGGTCAAGACGCTTACTCCCTATTCATTAACCCCCAACCAAGGATCAAGTCAGTCGGGGCCACCTTTTGCAAATTAGAGTTATCATCATCTCGTGTCGGCCTCAACAACTCACGATCTCTCGTCAATACTACATGGTTTCACAGTCCTGGATGGTGTTTGATTCCGGTCGATGTAGTTGACATGACGACGATCCGTTTTACTTCTACACAGCAAAAAAGTAAAGACTATTTTACTATCATCCACGAACTCACCTATCTTTGCCTTTCAAGAGAAATGAACAGTTATTTTGCCGGCTACATTCATCCCAGAATGTAAAGATGTGGAGACAAGTGTTCGTCAATGATTGGAAGCGGCTTTCCTATGAAGTATATATCATCGAGCAGTTGCAGCGCACCACTGGCGTTATCGTGCATTTGCTGAAGCTTCTGAATTGTGTTCCTCTTGTGATTTAAGTGAATTAGATTCGTTCCTCCATTGCTTTTTCACATGCAGGAGGTCGAGCATGCATGGATCTATGCGATTAGCGTGCTACACATGGCGGCTCAGACCTCCGCTAACAGCATGTCGTGGCTCATCCTCTCTTGGGAGCAGTGCATCTTCAGAGTTGAACTTCCTTTGTCGTTACAAACACCAACGCAATCCTGTGGTTGATATGGCTTCATCAAAAGCAGCTCATTTTCCACAATCACATGTGGCCTCCAACTCTTCTGGAGCAACGGATTTAGGATTCGATCATTGACTTGGCACAAATGGCATCCGCCAAAATCACATGGTGCAAGAGACATTGGCCACAAGGAATGTCCAATGCATCCGCCAGTTTCGCTACATGTGGGATCACACATGACTCTTCTTCACCTCACGCAATGCACAAGTCTTTTAAAACTACAAGAGACCAGCACTTGCTTCATTTTGACCTAGGTAATTAGGTAGTCTTTGGGTGCTTATTAGGTAAAAACAACAAAATCGGCACTGCTAGCTTATTCCATCTTGCTCGATTTTGCAATGGTGTTTTGATCGACTTTTCAATGAAATAAAATCTCCATTTGCTTCAAAAAAATAAATGAAAAAAATCGATGAATCAACTCACTAAGTTTTCAATAATATGGTATGAAGTATATGCATTTGTTTTTGGTTTCTAGTCTAATTTTATTAGTAGCACTTATTGGGGCAATAGTTTTACCATGCATAAAACGACTAAGGTCGTGAATCATAAGGGTTTTTTGTAAAAAGAATTTTGGATTTTTTTATATTTTTTTATATTTTTTTTCAACATATATCATGTCATGTAAATTATCATACATTTAAACTAAATGACGTTATAAAATCACAATTGATTTTTTTAAATCAACTATAATGATAATCATCATATAGTAATTTACTAAAATAAAAAATAAAATTTGTGATTCAAAAAATTTACAATCATATTTGCTACTCAAAACACAAATCTCAGAATTAAATAATAAACTTGAATCATATAAAATTTGTATTTGAAGTCAATACCTAGTACCTTAATTTTAACAATCATTTTACCCGACAGAAGTCTTGCACAAAATATCATGAAATTTTCATTATCATACAAGAATATGAATTATGTTTCAATCAATTAAAATTATTTTGTGACCCATACGATTGTTATAATGATAATTTTTATAATGAACTAATTTTACAAAAGTAGAGTATTTTACTAGAGACTTTGCAATATTTTATAGATAAAAAATGAGTTTTTTGCACTTTTCTTACTTTCTAATTTTTTTTTTCAAAATCTATGATATCTAATTCTACATGGAAAATATGATGATTAAATAAAAAATAAATACTTTTTATGTGAATTAAATTCAGATAACTATCATAAAAGCTAGATTATCAAACATCATTTTGTAAAAAATG